CTTCATGGCTGCCGCCGCAAACTCGACATTGTGGGGTATCATCATCTCCATCAGAGTCTGATGATGTGTCGGAGCTTGCTGCCGATGGCGCTTGTGGGGATGACGAGTACAACCCTCCCAACATTGTGATTGGTACTGGCGGAACATGAGTGCCGTTGCCAGCTTTTGGCGGAGGCGGCGCCCCTGCAAGGGGCATGGGAGGCGCTGGAGGTGGTGCGGCCGGAGGCGGAGGTGGCGGAGCCACTTGATTAGCAACCAATTGGGAAAGCTGCTGAACCATTTCCGCTAAAGCTGTCACTTGCACTCTCACATCGGCTTGATCCCTTGGACCGTCTCTACCCAACCCGCTAGTCCTCGACGCGCCGGGGGCTGCGTCTCCAACAGAGGACGCTGCTCCTAGCACTGCCGAATGGCCTACGAGATGTTGACTTGTTGCACCCCCACCAGGGTCCCTTGAATCAGCTGGGGCATCGTGACCAAGTCCTGTACTTTGAACAGAACCACACGGAGGGTCGGGGATAGTACTTGTGAAAGCATTCCCTTGCGACGATGCGGCAACACCGGAGGCATCTTGTGAACCTGAAACCTGAGGTGCTCCAACCGGCTGATGGGTTCCTGGGGGAACTGTGCCTTGACTTGAGGCTTTAGCCGCGCTTGTTTCCGTAGCTGTTTCGGCTATTGATGCGGCTTTTGGCGGGGACTCTTGCATCGGAACAGGGGTCGCACGAGCTTGTTGGGTGAGCTGCGCAACAACACGTTCGAGATCACCAAGTCGTTGATGCATCACAGAATTTTCCTGGGACAATCCACGAATGGTATGCTCTTGACTGGCAATGGTTTGCTCCCTTTGTAGGATTGCCTGTTGAGCCTCTTGAACAATGCGTTGAACCTCTTGCTGAGCGTCCTGTTGAGTGGCATTAACAACCTGTCGTGCGTTCTCGACATGGCCAAGGGCTTCCTGTCGTGTCTGCTCGATGAGTTGCCTAGCCTGAGCCTCACTTTGTTGTGCTGTTTGTACAGCCTGCTGTGCTTGCGAAGCTAGCTGAGCGGCCTGAACCCTAACGTCTGAAACTTCTCTTACAGCCCTTTCCCTGATCCATCCGGCCTCTTGTCTCGCCTGATCGGCGGCCTGCTGTTGGTGCAAGGCGTGATTGGCTGCCTGAGCAGCGAGGTCGGATGCTCGATGAGCTTGCTGCACCGCAGCTCCAGCTATAAATGCCGCAGCGGGTACGTTAGTCATCGGGTCAGGTAATTGCGATCCCTGTGAAGGAAACTGAATGGCTGGGGAAGCTTCGGATGATGTCGGTTCTGACACGATCGGACCACTCGGGGGTGATGATGGTCGTGTTTGGGCTGCTCGTTGAGGTGTGGATGTGCGAACTGTGGACATAACTGCAGGAACCATGGCTAGGTCAGGGTCATCCGGTTCAGAATCCCTATTTGGGGTTGACCTTGAACGGGGTTCTGATGGCGGTGATAAGCCCGTTGAAGCCATGACACAGCAATGCAACTTTTGCACTCACACGAAGCTAGCTCCACGCGCTTTGAGCAGCGTGTCAAAAGGTGCTACGAGGAGATATCCCTGGATTGGCAGCTGGTTGCGAAACGCTCAAGTGAGCCACTCAAGAAAATACGCCCTGCTGCTTTGCACCTGATGAATTCTGTATTTGTAATTGTACTTGTAGATTGATTGATCCGCACTGCCGCACTATGGTGCTTTATCGAGGGATGTTGCCAAGCTGTATTGAGAATTTGTCTGCAAATCGAATGCCTGTAACTGCAAAATGCTGTACTGCGCAAAGCGACGGTTTTAACGGCTTGCAACAAAGGCTATCGAAGTACCCGGCTGGCGGGCAACTGGGATGCAGATCGGTGGAGCTCCTCGAGGTACTGCGATGGATGCAGGCCCCTTGCCGCCGGAATGAATTGTCTGTTCCGGGACTCGATAAACTCACCAAGGTTCTCAAGTGCGTTGGCAAATCCGCCCGGCCCGAAATGCGGGAAGTTGCGGAACGCCGCGATGCCTGTCTTTTGAGCTTCACGTACAATCGATGCTGTATCGTCAATAAGGGCGTGAACGCCCAGCCCTTGAAGGGCGTCTGCTTTGCCTCCCCTACCCAACCGTTCGTGTACGATTTTTATCGCAGAAAAAGTGAGTCCAGATGTCGCCCGCGCGTGCTCCAGGGCGACCTGGAACTCGCGGCGGCGATACTCGCTTGCAGCCCTGCCCACGAAGGATAGCACTATAAAATTTATAGGTGCGTAGTCCGCTGCAAACTGAACGAGATGCCAGTCAAGAGCAACAACAAGCTCCTTGGGCGGCACAGGCCTTCCAGGCGGAGGTGGTGGCGGCGGTGGCGCAGGCGGTGCCCTTCTTGGTGGCGATCGAAAGCGTGAGCCAGCCTCGGAAGTTGCAGCGCTAGCAGCAGCTGCTTGAACGACCTGCGGAGGTGGCGGCTTGACGATGTACCCGAATTGTGGCGGGTTTGAGCTCGATTTGCTTCTGGGTTCGGCCTTGTTCAATCCTCGCGGAGGCGCCTTGTACCCGAATGCACTCTGAGTCCGAATAGGAGATCTTGCTCGTGGCGGTGATTTCCTCGGAATATCTGCTTTTGCCGGTACCGAAGAAGCTGCCCTGGGGATTTCCTTGGGCAATGGAGGCTTGCTGCCAAAAATGACCTTTGGTGCGGCCTTTGGTGGCGGCGGTTGAACTGCTCCAATTCTCCGGCTGTGCAACGCGATGGGCTCAGTGTGAGTCGGCGCCTCGTACACGCGCCGAGGCACGTAGGCTGCCCTGCCCGTTCTGATGGATTCCGCGTCTTGCGGAGGTTCCTCTTCCGAGCTGTAGGCGTCGAGGCGGAAGTGCTCCGCTGGCGCCGGGCGTCGATCAGGAGATCGTGAACGCGAGCTCGTGGATGATCTTCTTGGGGGATCTCTCCACGTCTCGTCCGCGAGCAAATACGGGTCAGCCTGACGGAGTTGTCCAGACGTGCGTTGTGCTCGCCGATGAGATGCCGCCTCACGTGGCTGTGAAGCCTCCCGAAAAAGTACCCAGGTGCCGTGCTCGTCAAATCGAGTCACAGGGTATATGCTATTCTGTGGAGCCAAAACGATGGGCCGTGTGGCAAGGGAAGTCCTGGATGGCCTGCCCTCCCGCGCAAGCGCGGGTTCAACACTGTGAGCCCGTTGTTCCACAGGGGTAGCAGCAGTTGGTCCTCGTCTCGGAGTTGATGATGGAGACCTCGACCTTCGGGGCGATGGGGACCTCGATCTTTGTGTTGACCGTTCCCTGCTGCTCTCCCGCCGCGTTTCCGCAGCTTTAGCGTACACCCCGCGAAGTGTTGACTTGGCGGCTTGTCTTTCCTCTGCAGATGGCCGGATGCGAGGCAAAGGAGTGCGTGAATCTTGCAGCCAGGAGGAAGCTGAAGGAGGCGTCGGAGGGCGTAGCCAGTCCGCTGCACTGCTCGCTGCTTCCGCCGCGCCCGAGGCTGCGGCTTGATCCTGAGATGGCACACCTTGCGGCAAGACCACACCTGTGGTTTCAACCGATGCGAGACGCTGCTGATAAGCGTTGTCCGCGGCCTGGATCACGTCGAAGGCCTCTTGGTCAAAATTCCACAGGTGCCAACTATCCAATGACTCACGCCAGGAAAAGAGCGCCTCGACCTGTTGCTTCGAGGCGTCCGCAAACCTGATCCACCGGAATCGTCTGTTCTGCCGCTTGTACTCGTCGACGACGATCTGTTGCAGAGTATTGAATAAGCGGGCACGCGGCCCTTTCCCACCGCGAGTGCCGCGGTGAGGGCCGGCTTCCATGTGCGACCAACAGGTCGCAGTCACGGAAGGGTTTGTTTACCCGAAAAGCGTTACGGCTGATAACCACTCAAAGGAGAGGGAAACACAGTTTTGTCAACAACGGGGGAACCCGGGACCTTAAAAGGAACGAACCCCTCCGTGACTGCGACCTCTCCCTTAACCTTGGGGTTAGCGCGAGCAACGCGCTGTTTTCAGCACTTGAGCCAAAGCAGTGATTGGATCATGCTCTGGCATTGACTTGAATGTACAACATGCAACTGACTACATGAGAACCTACCTCATGTACCTCTGGGCCATAAATGTCATCGTGATAATTGACTATGTAATTATGAAGAGTTCATGGCCATAACAATAGCCCATGTTAAATCATTTGGATCTAATAATTCACCCGCAGATAAGAGGTTTCCATGAAAGGAACATTCAAGTTGGGACATCGCAAATAACGTCGGTATTTGTCCAGAGTGAAAAAATGGTAATTCCTAGTCAATTCTCAGTCTATTCTCAGTCCGCCCTGTTTCTCTAGGTTTCCAGAACTACATGTCACGGGTGCAATGGGTCTGTTTCCCTCTACTTTGGGGTGTGGATTGGTGGTTTGGTGGTTAAGGGTGGTTCCCCATGAAGTCTCTACAAGAAACAGGGGTTGAATTCCCGCCACCAAACCACCAAAGGGCTACCTGAAGTCAGCATTCACCGGTCAAGCCCGAACGGACGTGAATCTGAACTGGGAGAATTCCAAACCAAGAGATTCCCATGAGGATCTAAAACAGATCGGGAGTCCAACTTGGACACCTAGGGATAACTCAAAAACCCATGAAAAGGATCAATCTTCATACTTTGTTTTATTGGGTAAGCGCGCTGCAAAGTAACAATGTTGACCAGACAAACACAAACCCCACTTTATTCGTAGGGAGGTGGTTATTGGCCGTTCCAAAAGCGGTCTGATTCCGCACATTTCACCCAGAAATACACACCCCCTATGAATAAGCTTGTGGTTGAAATTCACATGGGGTCAACATGACATGGCTGTATAAACTAACAATGTTGGCCCCGGGTGTTCCCTTCCAAAAGTGGTATAATTCCCCACTAAACCCCACTAAACCCAGAAATGGACACCCATTTCAAACTAAACTGGTTGGTTGACATTCACTTGGGGTCAACATGACATGGGCCGCTTCTTCTGGCGCCTTCTTGTACTGCATGCCCTCGCAGTCTGTGGACGCCGCGTTCTCGATGGCCACCGCGCCGCAAGTGCGGCTACAGCCTCGGAATTGTCTGATCTCTAAAACCACCTTTAAAATGTCTGTATATATATATATATATATGTATTAAAACCAAAAAGACAACAAATAATAATTAAACACATAATAACAAGAATACTAAACCACATAACAATAATAATAAGAATAATAACAAGAATAATAAAACACATAACACTAATAATAATAATAATAATAATAATAATAATAATAATAATAATAATAATAATAATAATAATAATAATAATAATAATAATAAAACAAGTAAAATAAATTCAGGGAATGGACTGGATCCCCATGCGCAAAGTCAAACACTTTTCGTCGGCGAACTGGGAACCAAACCACACCCACGCAATCTGAAGACCTAAGGAACCGGATGGCTGGGAACCGAGCCTGGAGCAATCGGCCAAAAGAAGAGTCCCTCACGGTCTTCTTAGCATGTTAAGCCATGCCACAATGGACCCACACTGGACCTTGGTCGGGCTTGAGGACAAGTGTGAACAGAGTTCTATGGTCTGGGTTCACTCAAGTACACAAAACCAAAATGGAGGGTACCATCTACCCAACTGTACTCCCCAAAAACTCGAACGTAGTAAGCATCGGTAAGCCCAAGAATTGGGAAACCGAATGAGCGGGTTGGGCGGGTTCCTGGACAACAACTAGCTCTTGTTGGCGGGTATGGCCTTTGGCCTTGGCTTGAGTCGGCCTCTCGTCTCATGTTTCTCCTGCTCTCCTGGCTCTTGCTCAAACTTGGGGCCTGATGCTGGGAGCTTCTAGCCAAATGGAGCGCGGTGCGGCAATTGTGAGCAGTTTGGCAACTTTTGCAGTTCTGGTCAGAGGAACTGCGGTGGAGTCAACAGAGCGTGTTTGAGCAATGGCGCAGCGAACATTTGAAAAAGAACACGGTCGTGAGAGGGATTTTGCATGGGGTGGCGGTCAATCATGCGCAAACAAACCGCGCCCGGATTGCGTCATGATCCCGCAGGCCCCGGTTTGGGCAGAAGGGGCCGGTGGGTCGCGTTTGTATGTGGAGTGGGGGCACGTTGACCCCAGATTTGGTCAACTAGGTCCTCCAGTAGAGAGCTTAGAATCAGGGTACCCGATGTTTTTCTGCAGTCTATTTTCGTAGGGGAACCCTCCCCCAAAAAAGGGGAAAGGGCACCACTGGGGGACCTAGTCAATGTAGGGACAAGCTATTCGTGCTCATTCTGCCCTTTACCAAGACGTGTCCCCTTGCATTGCCTAGCCCTACTGGGAGTGTGTTAAAATCGGCGAGGGGACCCGCTAAATTGGCGGGTGTTCCTTTGGTTACGTGCCAACCCCAAAAGCGTACCCTCAAACAAAGACACGCCCATATTCCTGCACATACCGGGTTCTGCGGAGGAAAAAAAAAACACCCATCCCCCCAAATCCATTGTGACAACAGATGCTGACCCCCTTACCCCCCAACTTCAAAGTTGGATGTGGCCCATACTAACAAAGCCTGCGGAAAAAAAGCGCCCATTCTGGCTTCAGACATCGCAGCATTCCTCAACAACATTGAAGTTGGGGGCGCGGGGGGCGCGAGGGGCAAATAATTGGCTGAGAGTAGATGGGCGTTTTTCTTTTTCTCCGCAGAACCCGGTATGGGGGGTTGACCAAAAGGTCCTTTACAAGGGATGACCAGGGAAATCGCTAAACAATGACTTTCACCACATGGGAAAAGTGATCCATGGTCATGGCCGGGGGCCTTTAAGGGAATATTGATCAACCCACCTATCCCAAGCACCTTGTTGCGTCGCTTGAGTCCCCTGGAAAGAATGAGCTATATGCCCAGTAGTGATAGATTCCCTTCAAAACCAACAAGGGGAAACAAACAAATATTCTTTTCAGGAGATATGTGGGCAGCCATTTTTCCCCAACAGCTGAAAGCTTTGGGGTCTCAGCCCAGATAGGCTCCGGGGTGGTCCGGGGCGGCCCTGAGGCGAGGTTCCACGAGGGTTCCACCAGGGTTCCACGAGGGTTCCACGAGGTTGCAAGGGCTGCGGGGTGGTACGAGCCGCTGTTGGGGATATCACTTGAGCCTTTTTTTTTTGGGGGGGGGGGACCTCGTTGTGGTTGGGGTTTCAAAGGAAAACCAAAAGGACATACCACCATTCTTTCCTGAGATGCCCAGTGGCCATGGGGAAAGAAACCCTGTTTGTCTTGGTTGAGAATTAGAGGGTCCACCAAAAAAGTGAAAAAAGGAAAGCAACCCACTCCCAAACCGCCTCCCTTCCCCCCCGTTCCCACCCCCCCCACCCCGAATCAGCCACTGGAAGTCTGGGCTGCCCTCAGATCCCCTCCTAAAAGTTTTGAACTTTTGGTGGGTCAAATGGGAAAACCACCCACTAAACTCTAAAAGATGCGAAAAAGCTAAGCCCCCACCCACCCCGCCCAGCCACCCCGCCCAGCCACCCCGCCCCCCCGAGTTTCAGCCACGGAAGTGGAACCCTGAGGCCCAGCCCCCCCCACCCGAAGCGCCACATGGCGTCCGAGAAGCTGAAGGTGGAGGGCTGCAGCACCCCCACGGCGCACCGCAGCTGCGCCTCGTCCGGCTGCAGGCCGTCGATGCAGCGCGGGCTGCAGAACCCTCCGCTGGGCACCGCGGAGCCCTGCGGCGTCCCGTTGGTTGGACGATCTCCGTGTTTTGGTTGGGCCTCCATGCAAAACACCATCAAAAATGACCATGCAATAAACTTTCTGCAAGTGTTTCAGGGGTGCCGAGCCATTTCCCTTCAAAGGGAACCTCAAACTAGATGTTGTTCAGTGTTTCAGGATATGTTTCAGGGGTTCCGCGCCATTTTCTTGGGAACCTCCATGGAAAACACCATCCAACAATGACCATTCCTTCACTGCCCTTTGTATGGGAGCAACAAACTATATTATTTTCAGTGTTCCAGGGTACGTTTGAGACTTTCCATGTGTTTTACAATCATTTCCAAACCTGAAAACAATTCGGATCCCCAAGTAGAAGGCCCAAGCCTGAAAAAAGCTTAGTTATAAGTTATAAAGAAGCTTCAGCAAGAGTCATCAATTGCTTTTATGGTTATAAAGATATAGAGGCCTGACCAAATTCTAGAAACCGCCCCAAACAACTTGGGCTGAGACCCAGTTGCCCAGTTGGACGTCTCCAGGGTTGGTTTTATTCGGGATTCTTCCAAAGATTCGAGCCCCAGTGAATCGGCGGTCCTTTCGTTTTGACTTGAATTCCAGCCCAAAGATTGGGTATGGGTCAAAATTACATCAGGAGATTGCAGGTTTGAGTCCATGCTTCCACTTCCTAGGGTAACCCATTTTGGGGAGACCCTATTTTTGACAACCACAGTCAAGTCTTGGTCTTAAATATGGTTGACTAGAGCCGACACGGTTTGATCAAAATATCTAGGGCAACCCATTTTGGGTACATAGTGTTTGACAGCCATCCATATTGAAATCATAGGTGTCCTGTTCGGGGAAATAGATGGGTTTCCCTGGTAGATGAAAAAAAACACCAGGTAAAGGAATCGCCCAACCAAGTTTTTGAGCAAAACAACCAAAACCACCTATGATTGAGCCACGCCCCCATTTCGCCAGCATCCAAAACTCCGTCGAGTGCGCCTCCAGGCAGCTCGGGCTAAGAGCATCCTCCACCTCCAGCGCCGCGCACTCCTGCGATCTCCCAGCCCCCGCCCCAAAAACTCGCGTAACGGCCGGGGTCCGGAAACAAGGGAAACACCAAAGGGAAACCAACAGACCGCAAGAACTGCATTGCCCAAAAGAACTCCTGAGTCCCCAAGTGCTTCTTTGCCACTGTTCCCAAAAAGTATGAAGTTCATGGTGAGTCTTCCCAACAGTTTGCTCAGCACACTGTTCAAATCACAAAGGGGTCCTGACGTCAAAACCATCCACCCCATCCATTGTGGTGGCCATGGTAAACAAAGGCACCTTGTTGTTGGTTTGGTTGATTTAAAGGGCCCCCCTTCCAACTCCTTAAGTTGCAACTCATGTCCATGGAAAATGCCACCTTTTCGAGGTCCAACAAATGGAAATGGGTGTTCCAGTTGATTTCCACTTCTAAAAACACACACAACAGCTGGGCACCCTCAAAAAGCGACCGACCCCTCCAAAATGGAGCTTCTACCGTTGGTTTCCCTGCAACCACACCCCAAACAAGTCCTTTCCGGCTGGTTTCCCTTTCTCCCGCGGCCGCCCCCCCCCCCAGGAAAAAAAAGAACGGGGTACCCTCAAACTAAATGCAGACCTGCCCTCAAAAACCGGCAGACCCACAGACCCACAGACCCCCCTTGAACAAATCTTCTGAGCGCTGAACCGCGCCTTGTCGCAGCGCACTGGCGACCAAGCGCCGTCCTGGCACACTGAGACCGCCGTCTGCGAGGAGAAGCCCTCGAGGCAGGAGATCCTTGGGCGGGGAGAAGTCGTGGGGAGACATATAGCTCCGTTTTTTTTCACTGTTTTTCTTTCTTGTTTTTTGTTTTGGGGGGGTTTAATTAGACCAGCTTCTGTCGTTATTTTTTTTTTTGGGGGGGGGTAAGGTCTTTTTGTTGGGGGGGTTTAAAAATTTGGAGGGGTGTGTCGCTTCTTTCTCAACGGTTTGGATGCGCTTTTTGATTTCACCTGTTCTTCCCCCTGGTCTGTTTTTTGTACTCCTGCATTTTTTCTGCAGGGGTGGATCCATAAAGAGACACAGCCAACTAAGGGGGAAAACACAAATTATCAACTCTACAACCCTTGTGGTGGCGAACAACTCAAAGTTTCTTTGCAGCCCCCCACTAAAAATGAAAAAAACCAAAAAAAAAACCAATCATGCCAACAACAGGAAAGACGATCACGATGTGTTTTCAAGTTTGAGAACACACACACGAAAGCTCCGGATGTCAAACGTGGCTAATCCCATATCCCCCTACAAAGGTCCAGCAGCCAGGAAAACCCCCCCCCCCCCACAGGAAAAAACATAAGCCAAACTTTCTCCTTCTGGACCCCCTGTTGCTGTTGAAACGGACACAAATGGAGGTCTGGGCCAAAACGGGGGGGTTGAGAATCAAAACCCACACGCCACATGTGGATCAGTAGGCCAAGGCCCCATGTTGGCAGTAAAAGCTGTATATATATATATATATAGATGCTCACCCCCCCCCCCCCCAGGGCCTACCTTTTCCAATTCAAAATGTACAAAACCCTCTTATTTTTAAAGACAGGGGGTGTGAGCATATATACGCAAGAAGTGTGCTGTTGCTGCATATTTTTTTGTGGGTGACAAGTCATGTTGAGTAACAACAGCAAAGAGTTTATAAACTTACGAGACAGTTTATAAACCATGTCAAGGGTTTGACGGTTTCCCTGCAACAAGGGCGGGGGGGGGGGGGTCAGAACTCTTTACGGGGGGGGGAGGGGGGGGGGGGGGGGGTACTGAGAAGTCTTTACAAAGTTGGCTGAGTCACACCTCACTGCTAAGACTTCCAACCACCCCCCCCCCTCCCGCCAAACTTCCAACCACCCCCCCCCCCTCCTTCAACGATACCATGAACACTTCGTAGGGTGTTGTTGCCTTGACGCGGGAAACTCGTCAAACACTCAATAAGGTTTATAAACTTTCCTGAAAGTTTATAAACCTTCTGTAGGCTTATTGCGTAGCAAGTGGAGACTGTTGTTTGGGAAAAAAAGGACACTCATTTGAGGCCTTGTTTGATGTGGTTTGGGCATGTGGTCCTAAAAGGTTGATGATTGTGTGTGGGTGTGTCATCACTGCTGCACTGTTATATCAAAGGCTGTCCATTCGGTCCAAGGGAACACAATCTGAGCAACTGCTGCAAAACACTGCTTTACAGCATTTTGTTGGATCTCTAATCCCTTGAAATGTCCAATTTGAAACACCAGAAACCTAGAATCTGGAGATCAGAATCCTTGAGATGTCTAATGTTGGATTCTCCAAGCCTCATAATTTGGAGCCTGGAGTACTCCAACACGAATTGAATTGGAATGTTGAAGGGGGCAAAATGTTTTTTGGGAAATGAACAATCTTCGGCCCAAGGGAACCCAATCTGAGCAATTTCTTCAATACACTTTGTTTTACAGTTTTTTGTTGGACCTGCAATCCCTTGAAATGTCCATGGTGAAGCACCTGAAACCTAGAATCTGGAGATCAGAATCCTCGAGATGTCTAGTGTTGGATTCTCCAAGCCTCATATTTTGGAGCTGGGAGTCCTCCAACATTTTTAAATATAGATTCCTTTCCAAATATACTGCGAATTGAATTGGAATGTTGAAGGGGGCAAAATGTTGTTTGGGGAAAACAATCTTCGGTCCAAGGGAACACAATCTGAGCAACTGCTGCAAAACACTTTGTTCTACAGCATCTTGTTGGATCTCTAATCCCTTGAAATGTCCAATTTGAAACACCTGAAACCTAGAATCTGGAGATCAGAATCCTTGAGATGTCTAATGTTGGATTCTCCAAGCCTCATAATTTGGAGCCTGGAGTCCAACATATCCAAGTACACATTCCTTTCCAAATACGATTTTGATCCGAATTGAATTTGCATATTGAATAGAATTTAGTAAGCACATAGTTCACCACCATTCATAATTCACCATAATGTCTATATTAGATCAGAATTTGAACAGGAATACCTTTCCAAATAAGGAAAATATGATTGCAGTAGAATCCAAATATACTTTAATGCAGACAGAATTCAATTAGCTTTTGAACATAATAATTTAATCAAGAATCCATCCCCAAATACAGCTTGAATTGGAATATAGCTTATTCTGGAAAGAAATCACTTGGCCTTTGCAATCAAATTTTAATAGTAACTCATTCCCAAATATGATTTAGCTTAAATGTGGCTAAACAAATAAAGGGCACATATCCCCAGACTCCCAAACTTGGTCTGGAGATGTGTTTGGCATGTGCAGGTCTCAGAGCTTTCATTTTCAGGAGATTTTGTGCTTTTGGGTCTGTGCAGGTTGCAGAGCTCAAAGCTGCCAAAAACATCATTTTTTCAATGTTTTTCCCTGGTGTACTCAAACCACTGTAAAAACCAGTGATTCAATCAAAGCCAGGCTCGAATCTGAAAACGGAATCCGTTTTCGCTTTGCTGCCTTTCAAGCCTCAAATAATCAGACATTTGCTGTCACATAGAAGGTAAAAAAAACAACAAAAACACTGTATTTTACAGTGTTTCAGGCATCTGCAAGAAAGAGGCACACAGAGTAGAGTTGACACCTTCAACTAGAAGAGGGCAAAGGTAGGCCCTGGGGGGGGGGTGACCATATATATATATATATATGAAAAAGTGTTGTCGCAAACGTGGCTTCTTTTCGGTGTTCCTTGTTCATGCCCAAGAAAGGTACCCACAAACGACCACACACCCTGGGCGGATTCCTCCGGTTCCGCCTCGGTACTACCCATGGGCAACATCCAGGGATGGATGAAACCCCCGTAGACCCCCTGCCGAAGGCTCGTGGCAACGGAACCCCCCACTAACCAAAAGCCTCCAAACACCGAAGACCGCTACCAATCGCCAGCTAACGTGAGGAATCTGCCGAGGGGGCCTCATGTCGGGTTCCAGGTGAATTTTGACTGAGCCTCTGCTTGGGTAGGAATTCAACCAGGGAAAGTGAAGTGGAATTTCGGAAAGGGTCTAAAGTGTAAAGCTTAGAGGGTGCTTATGGAACTCGCTACGGCCCGGCTGCCCGGCTTCGACTGCTTGTCTGAACCGACAACCGAGCCGCGTGCAGGTGGCGCCCGAGGGTCGCGCCGTGCAGCCGGTGGCTGGATGCGCGTTGGCAACGCTGGGGGGACCTAAGAGAACGAACTGGCCAAAACGAGAAGACTTTACATATGGCTCGTCATTGTTCAGGTTGGCCCCCCCAACATTGGGTGGGTTGTTCGTTTGGCTTCCCTTCAAAAGTCAACAAATGTTGCTGTGTTGTGCTTTGTTTTGGTGTTTGATTTGATGGTCGTTCGCTTTTGTGGGGGGTGTTGGTGGATGGCCGATTTGTTTTTCGTTTTATTGCCCGTTGATTGGTCAACAACGGAAGCATAAAACAACGACACCAAGTTGAGCCAGGTTGATTGATGTGTTGGCCGATTTGTGTAGAACATCAAGGGACAAATAACACACGTGCACGTTGCTTGTTTTGCCGTTCTCGATTGTTCGATTTGTGATATACTTACATATGAAACAGAACACAAGTCAAAGGAAAACAGGCGCACCATGTTGCTTGCTCTTGGCTTGCGCGTTTTTTTCTTGGTCTGGCGTATCTGCTGCAATGGGCAGGCATTGCCTCTGTGGCAATTGCAACACTATTCGATTCCAGAGGAAAACCCAATCCAAGAACAACCGCCAAGTCTTGACCTCATGCAACAGAAACGTCACATGCTGCCAGTCTGTCGGGGAACATTCCGCTCTAATGTCACTATCCCCATCCGATGGACGCGAGTGCGTTTTTCGTCCCCAATCGCTGATAGTCCCAAATAGTCATTGGCTTAGATTGCCCCTCCTTGTTATGGCTCCATATGATTAGAGGCTTGGAGCAACCCAAACTCAGCTGAAGGGCTATTGCAGAGTTGGATGCAGGCCGCGTCGCTGAAGGAGCCGTCCTGGTGTCGCACACGTTTGTTTGGCCCAACAAAGACCAGACTTTCGGTCTTCCAGTACAAGCTCCCGGCCTTTCTGCATTCTTTCAGGACATGGCCACCAAACTCTGAACTGGCAGTGGGGAAGGAAAGCAAGGTCACAAACAACAACTCTTGCAGTACTAGAAGCGAATGGGGCTCAAACAAGCGGCTGCGCCAATGGCTTCCTGCCCTTCAACTCAAGTTGTGATTGCGGTTCTCGTGGCTCATTTTAGGATAAGCGATGAAGAACCTCGTGTAGCTGCCAAATGATTATGTTTCTGAATTCTGCTGATCCCCAAAAGAGGCAAAAGAAAAGAAGCTTCTTCTGAGCTCTGTTTCCATTGGACCAACTCCGTGTTCCTTTAATACTCAGCTTTCCCCCAAGGATCTGGAACTAACGCTTCACCTTTTCACCTTTTGGAACCTTTGACCTAAAATGAACACCAAAATGGGGACACCAAAATGAAACCACCATGACAATCAAAATGCGAAAGCCAAAATGCGAAAACCAAAAGGGGGAATCCACTTCAGCTCCATTTCAGCTCGATGAACACTTAGAACCACTGAGCCGCGCGCGAAGAGACCGCGCTAAGAGACGCGCGAATCGCGAAGAGGCCCTGGGTCCTGGCAGTGAAGGTCCGCGGTCTTGGTGCGGCCGCCCAAGCACTTCCTGAGCCGTTCACCAGGGGGGTCCCTGAGCTCCTGAGCTCGGGGGGGTGGGGGAGGGTGGGGAGGGGGTGGGTACCCCAAATGGCTTGCCCTGACAAAAGGAAACAAGGACTATGGCCTGCGGTGCCCTGGTGGATTAATTTTGACCCATCACGTGGAATGTCCCCACTCTCAGGGTGGGGGAGGGGGGTGGGGGTGCGGGATCCCCAGTTCCATTGATCTAGTCTTCCCCATAAAAGGGAAGGGAACCATAAATGAAGATCTCCAGGAATCACCCCGCTCCCCCAATTCCATGCGTAAAGGGGGTGGGGATTATGGAATGTGACGCATCTGAGCCCAAGTTTTAAACATTTTGCTGGTTGCCCTCCCTCCCGCGTTGACATGGCAACAGGGTCCCTCCAACGGGAATTTGGCCACGCTAGTAGGAGGGAGGGCAAAAAGGCAGAAAGGTTACGTAAGCCTGGCAATGGAATCTAATGCCGAAGTGGAATTCTCATATGCGCACCTGCTGCAAAAGGATTCAATCGGTATCTTTCGTTTGTGTTGGTCCCTTTTCAGGAATTCACACAACGTGTTGTGTGTTTTTAAGATGTCCTTCTTCTTGAAGTATAAAGTGGTTGTTTGAACAATTGTTGAGTCTTAACATTAACAACAAGCAACTGCTCTGTTCTTTGCGGTATTTCCAACACGATGGACTGGAATTACCGCTCGTTCCATCTTGATGGGCTATATGAACAGGCAACTCTTGTGACCTTAAGTCGCCAAACTGATGGATCCACATCGCCGTCTCAAAAAACCAAACGCAAAAGACCCCAAGCTGGGCTTGGCAACGAACGAGCCATGGGAATTCGATGCACGACCCCAATGTTAAGTGGGCCCAACGAAATCACCGCTCTAAAGCTAGGGGAATATGTCTAGAATTAGTTTGGAAAGCCTGTGGGTGTTTTCCAACCAATGGGAACTTCAAATGGGATATGGAACTTTCAAGACACATGTTAAACCAAAAACAAACTGAATAGCGATTCCCCTTAGGACAACCCGCAGGAATAAGAAACACACATGCTAACCACATATGATCTTTTGCTAAGAATAGATGGCCCTGGCACACGGAGTAAAACCCGTCTAAATCAGGGGCCTTCTTGGGTTCCCTGACATGGTTTTCAGTGGCACCCCACACAAATGGAGAACGAACTCTTCTAGAATCCCATTTAAGGGCCAACACTTGCTCATGCTCTGTAGTGTCGATAACGAACCTATTCTATCGGGGTCATCCCCTCATTTCCCTGCCTGCGATTCCCTCCAACAAGACCACGCCCTGGCGCCCTTTTTGTTGGCCCGGGCCAACACCCAACCCGGCGAAACCGTTAAAAAAAAGAGGGAAAAACCACCACGGCGAAGCATCCCCGGATTTGTTTGGTCCAGGCGGCAGCTCGCAGCTGGCGTTGTGCAAGGTGCCCACACAGGCCTCCAACATGGCCTGGATGAAGCAATCAAAACTGGTCGACCCACCATGCTTCAAGAACTAAGGCGGATCTCCGCAGCTATTTCTGGCTGGGATCGTCCCTAACATTCACTTCTCCGGGTTTTGATTGTGGCTCAGTTCTTTCTCTTTGGGAGCCCCGTAGGGCCTATAGCTCTGGGCAGATATGGGTGATGCTGAGAATTTTCAAAGGCCCAAACTTACCGGGTCTCAGTTCGGTCCTTAAAAATGCGCCGAAGGTCACAGAGCTGCATCGGCTCGGAGTCCCAGAGTCCTTTAGAAGCCACGCCTGGGGTGGGGGTTCAAGCGCATCATCTTGGGGTTCAAACAGCGATTCCGTAAGTGAAGATTCCCAGATTGGGTCGGGATTTAACTTGGGATTTTTTTTTGTTTTATTGTTTTTTGGGAATTCCCAGATTCCCGAAGACTCCGTAAGTGAAGATTTCCAGATTCCCTTGGTAGCAGATTCCCAGCGAATGTCCCAATGCAAACAACGCCAGCCCCAGATTGTTCCTGACAGAGAACTGGGAGGTAGGCATCCCCTGATTCCCCAGATTATTCCGTAAGTGAAGATTCCCAGATTCCTTTGGTAGTTATTGGGAGGTACAGAGGAGATTCCCAGATCCCTTTGGCTGCCACGGGAGGTTCAAACAAATCATCTGGGGTTCAAACAAGGATTCCCAGCAAATGTCGTGAGCCAGATTATTCCTGACAGAGAATGGGAGGTTGAAGCCATCCCCTTCCCAGATTCCTTTGGTAGCCACCGGGGGTACAGAGGAGATTCCCAGATTCCTTTGGTTGAAGCCACGCTTGGGGTTCGAACAACATTGGGATAAAACAACGGTTCTATGTCCCAGATTCTGCAAGACAGAAGGTGAGTATTTCCGTAAGTGAAGAGTTCCCCCTGAAATTCAGTTGCAGTTGCCACAATTGAATGGGTTCCTACATAACCACCATGTGTTCAATCCCTCAGGAGAAAAACACATCAACACATTCTTTTCATGGGAATCGGTTGGACCCCAGGATTGCAGTATTTCGGATGTCTTTTTGGGAGTTGGTACCAACTTTGGGAGTTGGTTTAAAGGGAAACCAAGGGGAAAGCTACAACATGTTGGGGGTTCCAAACAAAATAAACACGCACCCACACACACACACACCCAGTTAGGGTGCCCTTTTGGCGTACCCTGATACTCAGTGTTTTTGGAGTTGGCACCTTTTAAGACCGACGGAGATCCGCACCCATTTATAAACGACCTTCATCTGTCTGGGTTTTGATTGTGGCTAAGGCGATCCATTTGCGACATCTGTTGCATGTGTACATGTCTACATACACATACATACGCATGTCTGTGTTTTGGCATGTTCCTTTGGTTTCGACTCCAGAGAAAATTTCAAATTACACATCGACACAAAGCCCGCTCCCGGGGTCCTTTCTCCAGGTTGCCTTTCTTTTCCCTTTGACTCCAGAAAAGAAAAAGAGAGAAAAACAACAGCAAACACCTTACAGAAAGCAAACCCACTGGGGTCCCAAGCTGCCCCCCCTCCCCCCTCCCCCCCCCTTTTCCCCCGGCCTCCCCGGGAAACCCCCGCCGAGTTTTCCGAGTCCCCCGAGTCCGGTCCGGTCTACTCGCCTGGTCTGCGAAGGCCACCGCGGGCTTGGTGTCGCAGGGGGCGCGGCAGCGGAAGCTCGCGGGGCTCAGCGCCCCGTCGAAGCAGCGCCTCGAGCGCTCGAGCGCTCGCGCCGCGCGGCCGGGGTGGGGCGGGGGGTGGGGGGTGGGGGGTGGGAGGTGGGGGGGGAGGAAGCGCTGGGCCGCGCTTTTTTTTAGGGGACCCAAGTCGGTCCAAGGACGAAGAAACCCCACAAATATGAGGAAGGCTCATATAAAATTGCAATTTACAAGCTAGGTCGAACAAAGGTTTTTGAGGTTTCTTGCATGCTCTTGTGCAGGGACTCATTGCCTGTTCTTGCAGGGCTTTGAAAACACGAGCAAGTGCTGTTGGGTTTCAAGTGCTCAGTGGCACTGTTGTTCCCATTCTATGTCGTGATTTCCCTCCAACACGGAAATCAACCAGCCAAAATGGGTTCCCTGGTTTGTAAGGTCGCAAGTCCCAAACCCTCGCAAATTGGATGTTGCTCCTCTGTATGACGTGAGGTCCCATGTTTCAGGGTTAGCCATGGGGCATGGCTAGTCGTCAGCCTCGGCTTATATATGACCGGGCCAGCCTGGGAACCTGACGCTAGTTTGCAGGACAAGCATGGCTATGAATGAGACAGCACGGGTTGGTGGACAAAATCACTATGGCTACAACCTCACTACCAAGGCCGTATTTGACGGTGGATTCCCGAAAAGTTGCAAGTTCAAATCCATATCCAACCACAGACCCAGGTTAAGAGTCTACCCCGGAGTAGTCGTTGGTCTTTGTGTGTTTCTGCCATAAACACGGTCATGACACTCGCGTAGGGGTTTCCAAGCGCAAACAAATGGTCTTCCCTGGCCCTGGCGGCAAGCACTGCGAACCTACTGCCAAATAAATGTGTGTTTTGTTTGTTGTGGCACCTCTATTAGCAATCACACGTAACACCATGATGTATGGCCAATGGCCCAAAATGGCTCTCACATACCCGCTGGGATCGTCAATGGGGAAGAAGCTCTCGAATACATCTGGCTCAGAGGGTTGAATATCCCAACTATCTCACAGAGGAGACCAAAGAAGCCCAGGGTTGAGTTTGATCATGTGACCTTTTGAAGCCCGAGACAAAGCTACGGAGCAGCGCTTTGTGGGTTGTGTTGTCACAATCTCCTTCATAGACCTCACCGTCTCATTGTGCCATGCAGTTTAGCCACACTTGGGTCTGTGTGTCTTTCTTGTGGGTACCCTTTTCGGGCTGTAATCCCAAAAGGAAGCCGTGCTATCTTTAAGGGCCCCGGTCCAGCCAGAAGAAGACACGCATCCACGCAACCGAAAAACCGCACGACGCGCTCACGCCCCCGGTCGACTTTCACCGAAACCGCGGCGCAGCGTGGAGGAGCCGTCCAGCAGCTCCGGCAGGAAGGCGCCGTTGCAGCTCGGCTCGCAGAGGCCTCGGTCACGCGAGGCGACGGCCACCGGGAATTTTTTGGGATGCCAAAAGGACGTTCCCCCAAAGCTGGGTGGGTTTTTCCTCCACAGCTGGTGGTTTCTGCTCTGAAGTTGATTGATTTTCTGGGGTCCGTGTTCAAATGGGGAGTACGTGCGCTGTATCTGGTGTTCTAAACTTCCTTTGACCCTTGTTTTTGCTCGAGGAGGAGCCTTGCCCGTGTTCAGGCACTAAAGTTGATGTAGCCCCTTCTGCTTTCTTTGCATTGGCATTGACGCCGATCTATCTATCTATCTAACTATCTATCTCCATCCGTCTACTATGTTATCTCTATATATATATATATATATACATATATGTCTGTACATATCTACTATTTCCACTTGTGGTTGTTCATTCTGAGGTTTGGAGCACCCCCTGCAAAAAGTTGTTAACTTTTCCAAAAAGTTAAAGTCTGAAGATCCAACCAAATAGCAGTCAAGGGGGGGGGGGCGGTGTCAAGATCAAAGCGCTCTTGTACCAATCTGTGCACAAGTGCAGGACCTTCATCATGGCTTTTGCTGGTTTTACCACCCGAATCGGCCCGGGGAGCTCGCCACATAAAAACAACATGGCGGATAGATTTCTAAGGCTGAATGTAAGCCCACGCATGAACCCCTAGTTCATGGGTGAATTGTGCGTTCGTCATGGAGTAGAAATCAGGCACGAAAGGGCAAAATGGCCACGGGTTCATATATGGACCTATACAATCAGCCTTTGAGGACTTCCATTTGGTTAAGACCCCTGGGAAAGATATACTTATTTCCAGTAGTGATAGATTCGATTGAACACCAACAGGGGGGGAAAAAACATGGAAGACAATTGGCCCTTGCCACTGCCACGCCGAGTCGCCCAAATGTGGCACTCGCTCCCCCGGCGCCAGCCCCTCGCAGCTGATGTTGGCCTTCACCCCGCTTCATCCCCGGTTCGGCAGGAAAGCAGGCCGTGTCCTTGTTGTTTTAAGCCCTTTTTGGGCCTGTACTCGGTTGCTTTCTGCTCCCCTACAAAAAGTTTAACTTTTAGTGGTTTAATACGGAAACCCATTAGTTGGCAAAAAGTTAAAGTCTTAACATCCAAGCAAAATGCACCAAAGTGCGAATCGATGATTTTTTCCGAGTCTTAAGAGGAAACTCCAAACAAACAACTCAGGACAAGCCGGCCTCCAGGCTTTCGAACCAAACACGCCAAACAAAAGTAACCGCCCATCCCCTCCCCCCCACCCCTTTCTTTCTAAAAAGGCCCGGATTTGCCGGAAATTCCCGAATTTGCACCGCCGCCCCTTTTTCCCAAGAAAAACCCAAACGGAGTGCATGGGAATAGGGCTGCGCCTGCGGCACCTGGGGCATGTCGCAGGGCGCAAGGCACGTCTCCACGGACCAAACGCCACGATGGCACTCCTCAGATGTTTTTTTTGCGAATGGCAAATCGGAAGGTCAGAGCAAACCTTTCAATTGCTTCCCCGCTGGAAAATGGGGGGAAGTATGTCCAGTAGTGATACTAGGGCCTCCAGTAGAGAGGTTAGAATAAGGGTACAAACTTTTTTGCTGTAGTCTGTTTTAGCAGGGGAAACCTCCCCAAAAAAAGGCAAAAGGGCACTACTGGGGGATGTAGGATAGGTTGCCTTTGATACCAACAAGGGAAAATATACAATATTCTTAAGCAAATGGAAGACACCCGCCCTACTGGAGCACCCAAACAGACTGGCCTTGGGAGGAAACCAAAAGGATGGGGCTTCGAAACCTCAAACACCTAAAAACAAAGCGACCATTCCGCGGTTCAAAAGACTTCGAAAGGGGCGGACTGCTCTGTTGTGGAGCAGCCACCCACAAGAAGGATGCGAGCGGAATGCCGGTCTGGTCAAGGCGGAAGCAAAAGTCCAGCGGCGCATGTCCTTGCATCACGTCAAGCTGGCGGGACCTGGGAGGAAAACGGATCGTGCAAGCCTTCAAGCATGGAGGAGATGTCCAACCGTCACAGCCGCAACCATGGAGGCTGGCGTGGCCATGCAGCGGAACGAAACGGAACCACAGTGGGTGTGAAAGGATGGGGAGGGGTTGAGACCCTGATAAGGCCGGCCTTGAGTTGGTTGAACTGAGCCCCATGAATGACTTAAATCAAGAGGATTCGCGCCAACCGCCTTTCAATCTTGAACGGCTTTCCAAGGCCGGGCTGCCCCGAGTGCAGCTAGTCTTCCCCGGGTTCCGACTAAGCCGCAAACCTGGACGAACTCGACGACCTAAACACGAGGAAAAAAGAAAAGAACCGCTAGCTCGGATTCTTCCTTTCTACGACATGAATAAGACATATCTTCTCACAATTTACCCGCAAGACCTGAGAAAAGGCCGGATACTCGGCAGGATCCACCGGCAAGGGATACTCAGCGGGATCCACTGGCGAGCTACTCTGGCTCAGCAGGATACTCGGCGGGATCCACTGGCGGGCTGCTGGACTTAGCCGAGTATTTAGCTGAGTATATTTGAGGGTCCGAGTATTCCGGCAGTGGAACTCAGCAGGATACTCGGCAGGATCCACTGGCGGGCTGCTCTGGTGGGATACTTGGCGGGATCCACTGTGGCTCGGCGGGATCACTTGTGAGCAGCTCTGGCGGGAAACTCGGCGGGATCCACTGGCGAGCTTCTCTGGCGGGATACTGGGTGGGGGCGTGGCGTAGAAGCATCGCAAACACGGATTCCAACGTAAAATTCAACAACCCCTTCCTGTCGGGTGGGGAATTCAGCAAGTTGTGCTTTTTCAACCCCCTCTTTCATGCGGCTTGTTCAAAGGCGACGGACATTCAACTGCACCACAAGAGGAGCGGCCCCCCCCAACAGGTGGTGGAAGCACTGGATGAGAAACAAGTTTTCTTTGCAATCAACGCAACCGACCTAGTTCTCCGACGTGAAATGAGTCTGCGGGTTATGGTTGAAAACACCGTGTGAGTCCCCAACATCCCACCCAAATTGACTTTGGACTGGCTCTGACAGGCATCCAAACTTAGAACCAAACAAAAGCTTTGCTTTCCAGACCTGCGGCCATGGGGTAAATGGACACTCGTTTGTCGTCAGATTCTGAACGGCTGGGCTGTCCGTTTTCAGACCCCTGCTAAAAGTGAACAAATTGTGGGTGAATTGGAAGCTCAAGCACTAAACCAACAAAAACAAACACAAACACCTAAGGAACCAAGTAGTGGAACCCCCTGGGCGTAGCTATGAACCTAAGGAACTGGCCGGCTTGGAACGCTCCGAGGCGCCGGGTCCCCGGTCTTCGCATAGCCCACTTCGCAGCGCAAGGTGCAGACGGTGCCATGGCCCGCGCCCTCGGCGGAAGTCTTCGGCCGAAAAGAAGCTTCCAGGTGGGCGCTCAGGTTGCATCATGCTTTGATTCCATGGAACATAGGGCTGCCCTGTAAGAACACTAACACCTCCTCCTCCCTTCCATTTGGTGCAAACCCCTGGAGAAAATATACATATATATATATCCAGTAACTAGTGATACATTCCCTTTAAAACCAACAGGGGAATCTTTGTTTTATTTGACACATATCTTAAGCAAGTGGAAGGAAGGCGACGCAGGGTGCCACCGATTCCCATCCACCTTTCACCAACAAAATCCACGAAAAATGTAAGGAACTGGATGTCTGGCAACTACCAAGAAAATGGCCAGGGTGAAACCTTTCCCTCCATTTGCTGTTGCAGGAATCAACAAGAAAAAGTGAGCAGTAGTGATAGATTCCCTCTAAATCCAACCGGGGATCAACATAAACAAGTCTTAACCTCCTTTTTCTTGTTGGCTGAGTTTAAAGGGAGAAAAACACCTTCCCAAGAACCAGTTGAACAACGGGCGGAAGCCAGTGGGCAACTGGGTTTTGGACACCCTTAACAATCAACCGGTCCAGGTCGATCTGCCAGGCGGCTTGGCAATCTGCGTCGTTCACGCTGTGCAAGACACCGGGGCCTTCGGCGCCGCGCAGTTTTCGGTGAAAGAGCACTGAAGGGATTCTGCTGGAGGTGCAAGTCCAAAATACTGTCCAACGGGGTTGTGGCGGACTTTGAAAAACCAAGTCATGGACCAAAAAGGGCAAGTTGTGTAATGTGTTGCCTCCTTAACCGCGACACTTCGATGTAAACAGTAACGTTCAGCCTCTGACAGACTGCGATGGGACGCTTCAGCTTGCCCAGGCCACCTCCAGAAGACCCCGCCACCCTTAACTGGCGTTGAGCTTAACAAGGCTAAGCCCTTAGCCACCAAAGAGCACGTGTTTGGGTCTTGGAGTGCTTGTGTAGCTTTGGTGTCTAACCGAAGCTCCAAAAATGAGGGTGTCCCACCACCCCCAGTGACAGTGAGAATGACAAACAATCCGGAGAAACATTTTCTTCCTCAAACGAGAAAGTGACCCCGAATCAAAGATATGCTCAATGCCTCACTTGACTGAATTGGCAACCAAGAAACGACCAAGCTGGATGTTTCCCATTGCGCCGGTCCTCCCAACTGCCAAGTCTAGAAACGTGGTAAGTCGGTCGATCACTTCACCCTTTAAACATCACAACCCGCAAAGTAGGCTGAGGTATCATAATTTGGGCTTTCCAAAATGTAATGGGCAAAGCCACGTGTTCAGGGGAATTAGTTGGATTTTAGAATATGTTGTTGAAATCCATCATCTTGGGGAGGTTGTTGCCTTTGTTCCACTGGCAAACCTCTAAGAACAATGACTGAGTATAGGATGACATGCATCACTTTTACCACTGTCACCTTCGAATCCTGAAACTTGGGAAGTGAGCTGAGTCTGTGATTGACCTCGCAATACAAGATGCCCAAACAAGCGCAAGCGATGCTGGTGGGAACCAGTGAATAGACGGATGTGGCAAGTGTGCTTCGCATTGCTTGAGAAAATGTCAGACGGTCCTGCTGGTTTGGGTGGGGCTGCGGTCAGGGAGTGGGGAGAAAATTCCGTCCGAACGACCACGCTCATGAAGCCAACACAGTTCAGCTCCTGACTCTGACGTCGTGTTGCAACTTTTCGGTTCAGGATGGGGCGCCTGAGTGAGCGTTGGTTCCTCTTGCCCGGGTCATATTCATCCGTTTGTCCGATTCGGGCCCGGTTTTTGCACACCACAAAGTCTTGACACCCCTTTGCATGTAAGTTATTGTCAAACAAACCCGACATCCCTTGTCTAAAACTTGGACTTGGACGTGCTTTTTGCACCGCGCAAGAAGAAGTACTTTGGATTAGAACCCAAGCCAGCTTTCCCGAACCCAGCCAGGGACCCCCTTATACTAAAAGCACATATGTTTGTCCATGAACATATATTTGTCTCTCATCAGGGGGGTGGGGGGATGGACCTCCGTTGTGTTCCGTTCCTTCTTCTTTCCTTGTTTTGTGGGGGGGGGGGGGGGCGGTACGAACCATGCTTTTTTTGGGGGGGTCCTTTTTATTGGGTGCTGTAAATCCAACTTTTTGCTGGTTAAAAGGAAACATGAAGGGACTCCAAAAAGTTAAAGTCTAAAGATCCAACCGAGCTTTCATTCGGGGAAGGGATGCATCATTTCGTGGAGCTCCGACTAAGTTCTGGGTCCCGCGCCCTCAGTGCAGCCAGCAAGGCACTCGAAGGACTCGATGGCGCCGTCGCGGCAGGTGACCTCGAAGACGTCCTCGGACAGGTGGGTGGGTGGGGGTGGGGTGGGTCATGGGTGTGGCGCGGGGTGGGGTGGGGTGGGGTGGGGTGGGGGGGGTGGGTGGGGTGGGTGGAAATTGTTTCCCTTTAACACCAACAGGGGCACATTTGTTTCCCTTTATATTAACATATATATATATCTATATATATATATATATGCGCCGCATGATCAACGATTTCGCTTGATTGAACAGTATGGGGAACCCTTTTTTCTCACCCTCCAAACCTTTTTTTTCAACCCTTCCCTGTTTCTTCAACCCTTCACCCTTTCAATTTAACCCTCCCCCGTCTTTTTTAACCCTCCCCCCTTCTTTTTTAACCCTCCCCCGTTTCTTTCTGACCCTCCACCTCTTCCTTTCAACCCTCCATTTCTTTTTTGCCAACCCTGTGGCCGACGCCTGCGGCAACTGCACTAAGCTACGGTTTAGAGTTGGGTTGGTTTCGGAGTGGTTTTGGATTTAGGTGGTGGGTTTAGGGTTAGTTTCGGATGGGAAGGGTGGATTTACGGTTTTGTGGTAGAGTCGGTTTTTTGTTGGTTTAGGTTGGGCGACCTCAGATTTAAGGCTAGTTTGGGGTAGGATTAGGTTTGTGTAGGAAGGGTTTAGAGGCGGGGTAGGGTTTGTTGAGGGCGGGTTTAGGGTTGGTTTGGGATGGAAAGGGTAAGTTTGTGGTCGTTTTAAGTTTAAGGTTGGTTTCGATCAGGTCTGCTGGGTATATGGTGAGTTCAAAGTTGGATGAGGGTGTGGGTTTAGAATGGGTTTAGCATTAGGGTGAGGTCAGGGTTGGGATAAAGGTTGGATTTACATGGTGTTAGCTTTGGGTGGGATTAGGGCTTGTGTCGAAAGGCTTCAGGGTGGATTTTGGGTGGATTTAGTGTTGGCTTAGAATCTGTTTGAAGTGGGTTTGGGGTCGGCTTCGGGTGTAGGGTTGGATGAGGTTGACTTAGAGCAGGATTTCGGTGGGTTTGTGTTTGGTTTAGGTGGTCTAGAGTAGGTCTGTGGTGGCTGTAAGGGTAGCTTAGAGTTGGTGTAGGGTTGGTTCAGGGCAGGTTTGCGGTTCTATGTCTAGGGTGGCTTAGGGTTGATTTGGGGTGGCTTGATTTCAGGTGGGCTTAGGGTTTTTAAGGGTATGTTGTTCGTTTGTTTTGGGTTGGATGTAGGTTGGATGTAGGTTGGATGTAGGTTGGTTCAGGGTTGGTCTGGGATGGTTTAGGGTGGGGTTTGCGGTTGGTTTCGGCTTGGATGTGGATTGGTTTTGCGGTTGGCCGAGGGTTGGCTTCACTGGATTTAGTGTTGGGTCAAGCTCAGCTTGAGTTGGATCGGGGTGGATTCATGGTTGGTACAGTGTGGGCTTATGGTTGGTTTAAGGTTGGTTTGGAGTGGCTCAGGGATGGTTAGGGTTGGTGTAGGGCTGGCCCAGGTTGGTTTTTGAGTTTAGTGTGGGTTGCTTTTGGGTGAGTTTAGGGTGGGGGCAAGGTTGATTTAGGGTTGGTTTTTGCTGGGCTTGACTTTAAGGTTGGTTCTCGGGGTGGTTTGGGATTGGTTAAAGCTGGGTTTAGGGTGGGTTTAGGCTTGGGTTAGGATTGGCTTAGGGTCGTTTTAGGGTTGAGGGTTGGTTTTGGGTCGGTGGGTCTGTTCAGGGTTGGTTTAGGTTGGGCTTGGGGTTGCGTTAAAGCTAGAGTAGGGTGGGGTTGGGGTGTTGGCTTAGGCAAAGCTTAAGGTGTGGGGTGGGATTGCGGTTGGATCAAGGTTCGGGCGGATGTAGAGTTCGTGTAGGGATGGGTTTAGGGTGGGTTCAGGACTGGCTTGTTGGTTTAGGGTTGGTTTAGTTTGTTGATTTAGGTTTGGTTTAGGGTCGGTACGGGTGGGTTATGTATGCTTTAGGGTGGTTTCGAGTAGGTCAGTGGTGATGTAGGGTGGGTGTATCTTGGCTTGGGGTGGGTTTAGGGTTGGACAAGAGATGTTTCTGGTTTGCTTAGGGCTTGTTCAGCGTGATTTAGTGTAGGGTGGGTTTGGGGTGGGTTTGGGGTGGGTTTGGGCGTGTTTGGCTGGTTTGAGATTGATTTAGAGTTTGGCTGGTTTGAGGGTTGGCAAGGTTTGGCTTAGGGCGGGCCTAGGGTTGGTTTGGGTTGGGTTGGGTGCGGGGCGGGCTTAGGTTGTTTTAGGTTTAGGGTCAGAAAAACAAGGTTGCGGGGTGAAACAAGCAAGCTCGCGGGTGAAAAAAACAAGGCGGAGGGTGAACAAAAACAAGGCGGAGGGTGAAAAAAACAAGGCAGAGGGTGAAAAAAACAAGGTGAGGGGTTGAAAAGAAAGGATTTCTCAGGGTTGGAGAAACAAGGTTCCCGCAGACGGTTCCCAAGCAGGGTTTGAGGGTTGAAAAAAAAGGAAGGGTTAAAAAACAACTTCGGAGGGTGAAAAAAAAAGGGAGCCCGAACAGTATCTCACCCACAACCCCATTCTACATATTTAGGCCCTTACCATACACTTTGGTGGGATAGAGGTGTGAGCCTAAACCATGTTTGATTTTTAATGGGGCTGAGATCCGGATCACATTGAAAACATGCAGGGACTTCCCAGGCAAACGGTAGGACCTACAGTAAGTACACGGTCCGAAACGGTAAGATCACAAAAAGGAAACGGCATGTTCTATCCGGATTTACCCTTTCCCAGCACTCATGAAAGTGCACAACAGGCATTCTCGAGAGGATTGTGGTCTTCCAAAGCCCTCCTGTCTACTTCAATGATTGGAAACATGACTAAAGGGAACCCCCTCGGGGTTTTAATGCTTCCCTTTTAAGTAAATCTCCATTTTCTTAACTCCCCTGGGAAAAATAAGAAATACTTCCAGTAGTGATAGATTCCCTTTAAAACCAACAGGGGGAAAAAAACAAAAACTTAACCAAACGGAGCTGTTTATACAGTTTTTGGTCAGCACCCCTAATTGGTGGAACGTGGTTCATGAGGGGTTTCCCATTCACCCCCTAAGCCAGGGGTACAAATCAGACATCAGCTGGTTGCAGCGCCGGGCTCCGGCGTGCCGCTGGCGCACCTTGCGCGGCAGGACTCGCCGTGGAGCATCCGCTCGTAGCCCGCGCCGCAGGCGCCGGAGGCGTCGCAGGAGGCGTAGCACCGGGGGACGCCGAAGAGGAACTCGAAGGCCAACAAGGGCTGGTGAACATATCCTCGGCTTAGGATCCAACCACCCACCCACCCCAGTTTCCTCCAAATAGGGGGCTTTACAGGATATCCAACCCCTTCTCCTCCCCCCCCCCCGCCAGTTTCCTCCGGGGCTGTGTAAGGGTGTGTTTTTTTTTGGCTGTGGGTCATCATTCCAGGGTTTCTTAGGTGGTGTCCACAGTATTGCCGGTTTCTTCTGGGCTGCCCTCAGATCCCCCGCAAAAAGTGACTAACTTTTAGTGAGTTAAATGGAACCACTAAATACTAAAAAGCTAAAAGGCTAAGGGAATGGCTGGGAGCCACCAAGTATCCTCGAAGGCTTCCTAGGATCCAACCACCCACCACCCCCCCGCCGTGGCTTGATACCGTGGATGGTCACGAAATGAAACCATGGTTGACATCATTGTTGGTGCTTGCAGGGGAATCCAATCATTCCCAACGTTTCTGAACGGTGGTGCAGCGCCCCGAGTTTAGCGCCTAATCAAGGGCACGCCGTGTCTACTAAGTCACAGCTTGCCAATTAGGTGATAACCAACAGTTGCCCTCATTGGACCCACAAATACAAGGGGGAAAGCTGAGGTAAAATTGGGCCAAAAGGTTGCGGGTAAGTCCCTTCTAACCTTTTGGGACTTTGACGAACAATGGGAATGCCAACCTGGGAAAGCCAAAAGGTCCGATCCGGTCGATTCGCTTTGGGCAACTGAGAACCCAAGAGCAATTGAAGGAGTCCACCCCTGCGGAAAGTCATTCGAGCGCACAGGCCGCAACTGGATTTTTCTGGGCCGTCCCCGAAAATTCGACCCAAGGCTTGATTGTGGCTCGATGTCAAGAGAAAGTTCCGATTTTCTCTGCCTGAGCTTCAGGGCTGGTGGAAGAACAAAGTGGTCGCTTGCCCGGCTGTGGGCAGAAGAAAAGGACACCCCGGTGTGGTTGCTTCTATTTGTGGGCGCTGAGGTGACTGGCCAAAAGAAGTTTGAACTTATTGGCCTTGATCAAAATGATGAATCAGTTTGCCGGCGAACAAATTGCAGTTTGCCCACTCAACAGTTGGGTAGGTCCCCGTTAATGGGAAAGGTCCAGCCTGTGGTGCATTGAGCTGCACCAGCGTCTTTGTCGGTTCAAACCCGGCAACTCCGGGTTGGTCAAAATGACCCCGCGCAAAACGTTAAACGTTGGCAGATTCGTGGCTAGGTCGTAGGGGAACCCAAAAAGGATACAGGGCACTACTGGGGGACCTAGGTGGGGTAGTAGCAAACACTGGCCCCATTAGTTTACCACTATCAACCACCTAAGTCCCCAAGTGGTAGGTTCAAGGGAAACACCCCCCATCTGCTGACTTTGATAACCCCTCAAAAAGCAGTCAAAATGATGACCGTCGCCGGCAGGTTCCGTTGTTTGGGTTACGGGTTGGGAAAGGTGTGGTAGCTTGGGTGAAAGTGGATGGCACGGTTCTCGCTTGGTCTTTGGTTTGACATCCAAAACCCTGGCCTTCTTCTGGGGTCATGCTTTGTTCAACATTTAGTGAACCTCAACATGGAAAAGAGTTTCAAAGGATATCCCACCAAGTGGGTGTCTTGGTTAGAGGAACACCCACAATGCTGGTTTCGTGTTGCTTCTCTTCAACATCAGAACTTGAAGTACCCTCATAACAAGAAGCACAATGCAACTCATCATCTGAGTCAATCAAAACCCGGTCTTATAATCGTCTACCCACAACCATGTCTTGAACGGTTTTGAATTGTCAAGGCGGCCGCAGACAAATTTCTGGCAAGGGCATTGTCCCTTGACCTTCATCTCCCCGGGCTTTGAGCAAGTGGCTCATTCAACCACCAGCTGTTCCTTTCAGGTTTTGATGGTTTTCTGAAAAGAAGGATCCCTGTAAAGAATGGTAAAGCTTGCCTTCCATTTGGTTAAGACCCCTGGAAAAAGATTGAGAACATATGCCCAGTAGTGAAATCGTTTCCCTTTAAAACCAACAGGGGAAAAAATATATATTTCAGCAAATGGAAGCCCTTGGAACTCTGCCAACTCCTCGAGTCATAATCAAAACCCGGTACAAGAATGGTTCACCCAGAACCATGTAAAGAGTTAAGAAGGCGGATATCCGCAGCAAATTATGGTTGGGATCGTCCTTTACCAGCCTTCATCTACCCGGGTTTTGAGCAAGTGACTCATCTGCACCTTCCGAGATTCGTCCAAAGACGCAGCTCAAGAAGCCGCTGGCCACAAAGTCCGCAGGACATCTCGGTGCGTTGCGCGCGCGTTTGCGCGCTTCCCCCATGGAAAAAGGAGTTGGGCTCAAAATAGGTTGGACGGCTGGACCCCCCCCCCAGCCCCCCAAAGCAACAGAAGAAAAGAAAGAGGTGGCTTCCTTGTGGTTTTCCTTAAACCCCAAACAGGGCGCCTTCAACACATGCGCCAGCCCTTTTCCAGACTTTTCCAACCATTGATCTTCCAAGCCCACACGGACTGGACACATTGGAGAGCACGCTTTCTCACTTAGGAGCTGGACATCAAGGTGTGCGCTTGCTGCGTCCAGAATTGATGTTGGCAAACGATCAACACTGAAATGCCCTGAAATAGCAACACTTGTTTGGCTTTACACAACACATCAGGCCATTTTTTCAAAAAAAAGGAGAAACAAAAACAACAACAAGAAAAACTTGCCTGAAGCTCAAACGGTTGACTGCACAACCACGTTTGGGAAACAGACCGTCACAAATGGAAACGCTTGTCAGTTGTTTCGCAGGGAACCGATTACAGAACAACTGAGCAAACCGCACGGCCAAAGGGCTAGGCATCAGGCGTGACCACCAGCAGACCATTCTACCAAAAGGTCAGACTCAGTTCGTTGGCGAATCGGCTTTGGTTTACTAATTCACTCTACAGCCTTCGCCAAACAACAGATTTAGGCATTGGAATCGCGGGGGGGGGGGGGGGGCAGTTTTGGTATTCTTACAAAAGCCCAAGATGAAACAATACCAAAAAGGGGAACAAAAAACAAGACTGACTTTGAGAACTCATGACCCCGTAGTTGATTGAAACTCAGGTTGCATGCTATTGTCATGGTTTGATTCCATTCATCATACAGGTCCTTCTGTAAGAACTGGGCTGTCCTCAGATTCCCCGCTAAAAGCTTAACTTTTAGTGGGTCAAATGGAAAACCCCACTAAACGCTAAAAGGCTAAAAAGCAAAGGGGATGGCTGGGCGCCACTAAGAGAACAACAACACCACCAACACCTCCAGTAGTTTGAGGTTAGAATAAGGCTACCCGATTCTTTTTTCTGTAGTCTACTTTGGTAGGGGAACCCTCCCCCCAAAAACGTTGGCAAAAGGGCACTACTGGGGGACCCAGACAACAACACCATCAACACCTCCGCCGTCTTGCGGCCACTGGTCAAGTCGCTGCAAGTTGCAGAGCGAGCCATGCGGAAGGCCAGCGCAGAAGTCGTGGCTTAGGCCGTTGTACACCTCGCGTGGCGCGCGTGGCGCGCGTGGCGCGGGGCTCCCGTTCCACAGCCCAAAGGAAGCCCAAGCCGGGCCAAGATGAATGGGAAAAGGGGCGAAGAAAAACCAAGGGCCAACTTAAAATGGGAAAAGGGACATATGAAACCGCGAAGATGAAGGGAGCCCGTGTTGTTTAAAGGGACATATGGAATGAGAAGCCAAAGGGAACCCATGATTGCTTTTGCTTTTTTTTTTCTTTGTGTTTGTCTTTTCTTTCTTTTTTCTGGCGGGGAGTTCAAACTTGCCAGAGTCTGCACCATCGGACAAGCGTAGGTCTTTTCCTAGACCTGGTGGAAACCAAAATAGGCATTTTTTGAGACCCTTTCGGTGGTTTGAACAAACATGCCAAAGGGAAGCCCATCCTGGTGTACCAGTTCCCAGTGGCCCACGGAAGCCACTTGGGAATTGTCCATTTGGGTCTTCGGGAACCCCCAAAATGATGGCTTTGCTTTTGGTGTCCCTTCAAAACCACTCCAAAAGGGGTACTCTCAAAAAAAAGACACCTCCTATTTTTCTTTGGGGGTGCGGGGAACTCAAAGAAGGAGAGACCCACCTGACGCCCACTTGCGGTTTGCTTTCAAATTCAAATCCTGGGCATGTTTCATGGCTTACGTTTGGGGAGCAGCAGAAATGTGGTCAGAGGGCTTGATCTGTTGGCCAGAACGTCTGCGCGGCTCAGTGTGTGTGTGTGTGCGTGTGTGTGCGTGTGTGTGCGTGTGTGCTTCCGTTCCTCCAATGACATGTCCAAAGTGAGCAAGGGAAAACCCGGACCAAATAGGATGGTCACGTTTTAACCCAATGGAGCAAACACGTTCCGCTGATCTCAAGGTGGCAAGGACTTTCCTAAAGGAATGCAGATCTCCCACAAAGGAATTCTTCCGAAAAATCAGAGATTCGACCATTGGGCGGCTTCTTGCCAAACATGAAGATGTTCGAATCTCTTTGGCGGGTCCCAATTTGGCCGTGGCTCAAAAAAGTGTACCAAAATGGCACCTTGGTAAATGGAACCAAGCTCGGTTGCTTTCTGCTCCCCTGCTAAAAGTTTAAGTGGTTTAATGGAAAACCCACTAGTTGGCAAAAAGTTAAAGTCCTAAGATCCAAGCAACATGCGCCAAAGCAAAGACTCGAACCTGTGTAACCCGAGCTCTTAAATTTTGAGCCACACCCATTTGACCTTGGACTCTCTCTGTGCACCAGTGGGACGTGCTTCGTGCCAAATGCCCGGACGCCAAACTCGTCGAAACGTCGAAACCAGGCCGGCCCAAAGAACCTGCTCTGCCCAAAGCACTTTAGTGGATGTCCAAAGGAGATCCACTAAATCCCATTTTCTTGGGCTGGCTGCTGAGCGACCCCCCCGGCTTCGGTGGTCTGGGTTTAGCCTCACTTCCTGAGATGGCCCAACCAAGTCGCCAAATTTGTTTCTCGCTCAAATGGTCCAAACCCAAAAAGTGACCAAAGTCCAAGTCCCGGAACTCAGGGAGTGAGGCTTCGGGTATCCTTCCATTTGCTTCAGCCGCCTGGAAACCTAAAACATATTTCCAGTAGTGAGATTCCTTCCCTTTAAAACCAACAAGGGAAAATAATAATGATCATTTCAGCAAACGGAACCTATATTCTTGTGGGAGGAGACCCCACACATGGGGGTTGATCCATATGGACGTATCCCAGTAGCGCAGAAAAAAAACATCCGCCCGCCGCTGGATCCGTCCGCGTTGCCTGAGGGGCCTCCATGCACCTGGGCCAGCAGTCGAAGGAGGCGGGAGACAGCTCCCCGTAGCCGCACCTCAGGTCGTCGTTTGAGGCGGTCTCGCGACGGTCTCCGCTTGGCTTCTCGTTCTTTGCAACCGTGGGCTTGCAACAAGCGGGTTTTTGTTGTTCGCAGCCCCCTGCTAAAAAGGGATAAGACCCAAACAACGCCGAAACCTAAAACTTGATCCAGCAAAGTTCTTGAATGCCAACTTTTATAGCAGGTGAATCCCCCACACACGAATCGTTGAGAAATAGCGAACCACTTGGTACCTGGTCTGACAAATTACTATCAACAGCTGAATCCTACCCATCAACCTGAAACGTGGTTGAGACTACATCAAAATTAGAGAACTATATGGGTGTTTCTCCCCTCCAGGTGGGTGGTTTCCTTTTGGTGTATCTTTAAAACCATCCAAGAGGGGTTCCCGATTTTGAGGCGGACCCATATGAACATATTCATGGCTTTGTGCTTTGAGGGTATCCTTTCTCTACCAACCTTTGGGACCCGCTTCTTTAAAGTGACGTAGAGCCAACCACAAAGCACCTAACTTCTATACTCACCAGTCTCAATAGCGGGGATCCCCAACAGGGGCCTTTGATGAAAAAAGGTATCCCGGTTTGGCCCTGCGCGAAACAGTGTTGCTACCTGGTGGAGTGTGTGCCCAAGTCGAACCTGCATCTACTCGTTTGTTTTTGATTTGCCACCTGGATCAATTCCGGTCCGGAATCCGCTCCCCTCAAATGCGCCTGCCCCAATCAAAAATGACCAACTGAATTTCCACTGGGAGACTGAAGCCTTTTTGGTTGGTTGACCCGAACAACACATCGGAAAACAGCACGGTCCGGGTGGCTTTCATCATTGCAGGCCTCTTTTGACGGCTTTCTTTAGTCAGCTACAGTAGATCGCATTGGGAAGCTAGGTCCTCCAGTAGAGAGGTTAGAAAAAAGGGTACCCGATTTTTTTCTGTAGTCTATTTTAGTAGGGGAACCCTCCCCAAAAAAGGGTGAAAGGGCACTACTGGGGGACCTAGGAATATATTCTTGCAATTGTTGGTTCCATCTTTACTTGCAGGGGAGAAGTGACATTGTGGCCTTTTGAAGAATAAGAAAACTAACAGGTCGGCCATGGTCAGCCTTAGGCAAGTGCTCTGAACAATACACCAGGCACTTGTGGCTGCATAAGTTGTCCTATGGATTTTATTTTTATTTTTTTAATGGGAAGCCTTTGACGAACATCTTCTTCATGGGGATTTATGCGTTTATGTTTGTTGCTGGAAGGTAAGTGGTGCTTTGCAGATTCTTTGCTTTGCTCTCAAGACGTCATTTGGCCCACGCGGATAGACTTGAGGAATGGAAGCCCTGAGGGACCAAGGCATGAGGTGCCTGAGGTTCCTTAGGAGCCTAAAGATTCCTGAAGAAATGCCACACATTGACCCACAATACGGGCGTTTTACGTCGGGCTTGGTTGTTTGTGGGCGTTGTCAAAGTCGGACATTGGCAGTGTGCTTCCCTTCAACCGTTTAGAGATCATGAGGGCGGTCACTGGATATGACTTTCAGTTGTGATATGAAGACTATCCTCCCAAATGGTTTGGGAGCAACATTAAATGAGCACCCTTTGGTGGACATAGATTTCCTGGTTGTGCTACTTTTTAATTGGAGGGTGTTTGCCCTTCGAATATCCACAGCCCAAAACAATCCCCAATTGAGGTGATTCTATTTGTTCTGGGCAGTGGGGTCTCTGATTTCCTAAGAGGCCCGAACAAAAACACACCAAACAGCAACAACAGAGTTTGCGCTCCCGGCGTTTGCGAGTCCGCGGAGTCCGCGAACTCGAAAACGCGGGCTCGTCCGCGGGCTTTGGCTGACCAGCATCCCCTCATGGGAGCTGCCTTTTTTTTCAAAGGTTTTTTTTTTGTGGTTTCAAAAACCCACCCCCTTCAGGGGACGCTCTCTTTGGCCGAGGGGCTGAAGCAGGGGTAGGGACTCGGTGAACTCGTCCTCGCACGCGGTGGTGCAGTTCTCGCCGTGCCGCAGAACCGCCACCGGAGCTCCTGCGGTCGCCGTACGGTTTTTCGCGGGGTTTTTCGCGCTTTCAGCGGGGCGTGGGAAGAGGCCCAAGCCTTTTGCTGCCCAGAGGCTCCGATCGGCTTCGGCTTTCAAGGGAAGACCCGACCCCATTAGACACCCCGGGAATTGGTGTTTGGGACCCGGTCTCAAAACCTGGCTGTTAAATCGGGCCCTAAATCCATCGGGAGCCTTTAGGTGGTCAAACATGTCCATCCGCGAGACACGGGCCAGGGTTCAAGGAACAAAACCTGCGGTATCAAGAGACCCTGAGCAGAAAATCTTGAAGTTAAGAGACACAACACGGGATGGGTCATGTTCTATGTTTGGACTAGCTCTTCCAATGGACCGGAAGGAACCTAAGGAAGCAGGCCCCTAAAAGAAATGCCATGTTCAGGGCCCCGTGCAACAAGCTTGGGGCAGGACCAATAACCGCTTGGTTGATGGGGGTCCTGAAAGGGGCTATTCCACCTTTGGGCAGTTCAAAACTGTTTTTCGACACAAGTCGTTTGTTTTTGGTGCTTTTGGTTGTTCTCTTAAAAGACAAAACAAGGTGTTACAGTGTGCTGTTGCAAACACACACAGACTTCGACCCCCCCCCCCCCCAGAAACAGTCAAAATCATGACCTTTGCTTAAACCAAACAATTTTATGAGCGAAACAAATCATGAGCAAAACCAACGGCTTCCTGTTGATTCCAGCCTCCCGTCTCCGACTCGGATGGTTTTTCGATGCTTCGAGTCCTGCTGCGTCGAGGCACGGCGGCGCCAACGCCCCCGCGATGTTTGACGGCGCGGCGCAGGGGGCGTCGCTCACCGTCAGGTTGCCCAGGGCCATGCTGAAGTTCCCGCCTGAAGCTCATCCGCTCTTCATAAGATAGAAATTAATCAACATATTGACTGTTAATAAAGGATCCGCCCGGTAATGTTGACTGCCAGGTAATGTTGCGCCAACTAAAACATGATGGGAGACCATTGTGGTTGGTATTTACAGGGGGAATCATCATTCCAGAGTTTCTTCATAAGATAGAACTTATTAAAACTCTTGACTGTCAATAAAGCATCTGGAAGAAGCGCATGTAAATCAACCCCGGTTTATTTAATAGGGCGGTGGGGGCCCCTGCAAAAGTGATGATTCAAGCTCCCATACTGTGGATGGTTGCGAAATCCGAGACCGCACCACGAAATGAAACCATGGTTGAAACCATTAGTTGTTGGTATTTACCAGGGAACCATCATTCTAGGGTTTCTGATCGGTGGTGCAGAATTTCGTCCATCCACAGTATCAATCAACCCCGGTTTCTTCATAGGGCGGTGGGGGCCCCTACAAAAGTGATGATTCACCACTAAATCCTGAAATGCTTGCATGAACCGTGTTTCCAAATATTTGCTTCTACCAGCCCCTATCTTTTCCATAGCGATTTGGCGGGCCATACAGAGCCCGGGGACCAACTCCGGGCGAATGAAACCCGAGAAATCTTGCGGCTCTATCTGGTTTCTTGCCTGCAGGCTTGCTTCAAAGCTACCTTGGCGCACTGCAAAACCCTGCGGGTAGAAAGATGGGAGTTTCACTGAAGGTGTCAAAAAGACGATGCCCCGAATTTGTGTTCCTTTCCCTAAACCTGTACAGGGGTCCAGGGGTCGCTGAATTTCCCCATACATGCTTGCAACTCACTGGCGGGTACCTCTGAAACGATCGCCACTTTTGGAGGTTCAAACAGGGAAATGGCTCAGAACCCATCCTTCGCTTGGGGACACCCCTATTTATCTCCACGAGTTTGGTGCATCCGTCGACGTTACGCCACAGGCGGACCAAGCTGCCCAGCGAGAGGCACAGCGCGTAGGTGCCGACCACCTCCTCCGTTTCAGCCAGATCCTGCGCCACTGGCCTGAGCCTCGAACCATTTTGGCCATCAACTTGCGCGACCAGGCGACTGGGGGTGGTAGGTTTGGTGGGGGTGGCAGGTGGGTGGGGTAAATACTACCATACGTTGTGGTTTCAACCATGGTTTCAAAGTGGTGCGAAACGGATTTCGTCCATCCACAGACTGGAGAGTTCTTCAATCAAAAGTACAACACCTTGGTATGGGCGAAGGCACGGAGCCTCAAATACCACAAACTCAAAAGGATGAAACCTAAAAACAACAAAACACAACCCGCCCTGTACGAATGATCATGGCCACTTGCTTTTCGGTGTTGTCAGCAACTCTGAATAACTGCCCCCCTTTCCAATCATGGGAGCGCTGAATTCGGGCCTATCCTGGAACTCCCAACTCAATCTCATAGGATTCCAGTGTGACCTTCAGTGTTGCTCACAAGAATGGGCGCTCGGGGACAAATCATTCAAACATGAGCGGTCGCCCACCCCAAGCAGGTTCCGTAGCATAGAAGTCTTGCCCAGTATCCTCAGTAACTGCGGGACACCCTTTGGCTCTGGCCTTCAGGCCCTTCAAATATCCCCCCCCCCCCGCTCAGCTAAGACTGCCAGTGGCAGTTGAAAGGAATTGGCCCACCCGGGTTTGATTCCACCTTTGGGCGCTGACCTCTGCAAAATTGAAATAGACGTTGGCGCCGCTGAAACGGGCCTCAGAGGTCTCAGGTTCCTTACCCCTTAAAACTCCAAGCCCTGGGGAAGTTAATCTTCTACAGACATATAGCCCATGTTACCCAAAAAGTCGAAAAGTTGTGTTTCTTAAGAGGTCTCAGGTTCCTTTCACGACCTGACATGAGCGCTCCATCCTCATGCACTGGATCGGCCGGGCAGCAGATCGAAGAAGAGCGCGGAGAGGTTCGAGGCGTTGGAGGGCGCCTTACGTCAATCAGGCCACATCCGAATCGTCGCGCCCGTTTTGGAAGGCAGCTTTGCCCATGTTGCCCATGGATGTGCCAGGCCCACCTTAAATACGTGAGGGTTATGGAAAGCAGGTGGTGGACACACACCCGTGGAGAAATCGGCCACTTACTGTTGGGCAAGGAACATCCCAGTGTATTTTCTACGGCTTACCCGTTCTCAATCCAGGGATTCTTTCCGCAAAACCACCAGTGACTCCATTTTGCTGGTACTCAAGAGAGCCGCCCTTAACAGGCCAAAAGGAACATGCCCCAGTAACACTGGCAACTGGGGTCTGCAACCAGAAGGCTGAAACAAATTTGCTGCAATTTGTTTGTATTGTGGGACCACACTGGACGCACATACCTACGCAGAGGCTACGCGGTTTTCGCTCCACGTAGCAATTGGCTGCACGCGAAACCTACGCGAAACACATGGCTTGATGCTGGTGGTCTGGTGGCCCACCAGGCCTCCTGAAAAACCTCACGGACGAGATCCACTCTGGGCCACTGAGTCCGGGATTGAGTGGTTGAAATGAGTCCGGTGAGCTTTCAAGAGACATCTGGAGGCGTGTGGGACACGGTGGCACGCTAGGTGCATGATGCGGGAAACCAGGGAAACCAGGATGATCGGTCCTGAGAAGCACGAAGACCGAGTTGAAGTACAAAGGAGGAGTTGAACGGGTATGATAACCCTGAGTCTTGTTTTGAGACAAATCCGACCTGTCCCGGGAGAGACCCTCAACTACGTCCTAGTAAAAGTTGGAGGACGATTGGCCCGAATACCTGCTTCCCAATGGTTTGGGGGAATCATGGAACCGACCAAACCGAATCAGATGGGCCCAGAATCCACTGACTAGAACATGGCTATGGGTCAAACAAATGTACCAACATGGCACCTTGGCAAATAGAGCCAAAAACTAAAACCTGTGTACCCCCAGTTGTTTAATTTTGAGCCACAGCCACATGACCCCCCGGCCCAGGAGCAATCGGCTGGGCGATGCCCCACACCGACGCGGACGCGGACGCGGAGGTGCAGGAGGTGTTTTTCACCAGCAGCAGCCGGTTGTCCAGGCTGAAGCCGTCATCCAGGCTGCCCACGATGGAGTCATCGGCCTCAGCGATCCCCAAAAGATCGCTAGAAAACAGTTGACCAGCTAAATGATTCGGTTATGGTCATGACTTGCTTGATTAAAAAGTGTTGACCTTTTGCACTTGTTCTAGTGTATGAACACTAGGCGACAAAAGGGTTGGCTTGAGCCTATATACTTTGGTTGTGAACTTCACAGCACATAATGATCATGACTTAATTCGATATGATTTGGAAACACTTATGAACACATGATCATGAGTGTCCTTGGCTTTGCAGTAGCTCGCGACCAACATATAACGCATGATTCCTTCTGGTATTCCACAACCGTGGCTTTCTTCGTTTGTTCTAACTCTATGCAATTTAAACCATGATGAACCTGCTTTGTTTCAAGCTCTTGCCACGTATCGATTACACCTGATTTGCTTTTGGGAGAATGCATTGACGCTGGAAAGCCCTTGCGCCAAAGCTAGTCCTTAAGTCCGGTAACGTCCCGTCTTCTTAAAACGGCCCCGAGTAACTGTGGGGTCCATGGCTGTGAGAGCGCCTCCTTCGGGACTGGTCATCCCAATAATCCGGGTGCGTTGGCCGCGTGTGTTTCCTGGGAATTCTCCTTTAAAGGCTTTCAAGGAAGACAAGTGTAAACTCGGATGTTCAACCTATACTCAACACGTACTTCCAAAGTGGGTTGAACATCCAAGACCTACTTAATACTTACTTCCAAAGTGGGTTGATGCAGGAAACTTTGCCTCTCTCGCTCTCTCTCTCTCTCTCTCTCTCTCTCTCTCTCTCTCTCTCTCTCTCTGTATACATATATAAAAGAATTTTGTCTGTGACGATGCCATTCCGTGAGCCCACCATGAAAAGTACGTTAGGGTCATAAGTTGCCGCCGCGCTGCAAGGGAGACGTTGCACGTCTCGTTGAGGCGGCAGCCAATTTCCAGGCCAGTCATTGGGCCATAGATCCTTCGTGCGGTGAGAGGTATGGAAAAGGCAGCTTAAAGCCTGAAAAAAGAGACAAAATTCAGCCAGGTATGTTTTTCAAGAAACTTAACATTGATTTATTTATTTATTTATTTATTTTTAAAGCAAACAACAAAAAACAATGTACTGGAAGGTATCAAACATGACCCCCCCCCCAGCCAAATGATCCAACCAACTCAAAACGCCAAGTGCCTCCAACCACAAGATGCAACATCTCTAGGGGTTGATTCCCCATTGTTTTCAACCATCGATCTTTCAAAAACCGGCTGGTTCCCCTGCGTTTTCGATGGTCTCCTGAAAAGATTCGGATCTGTGGAAAGAATGGAAATGCAAGGTACTCATAGACATATCTATGGAAAACATAGAAATTGACATGGAACTCAACACCGACTTGTGGATCTGTTCAATTGTCTCAGTATGTGAGGGTAAACTGGATGAGGGAATCGAGAACATCACCTACTCGTTGCAAGCGCCAAGTATCATGAGGCTGGCATAGGAGATGCCCGTGGCTTCGCCAGTGGCATGCCAACATACCAGCAGTCTCTGCGGATGAGCAGCCAAAGGGGTGCCAAGCAAGTAGGTCGCATTATCCTGGCCAAACAGGGGCAAGAGTCCGGTGGATGTGGACGAAAAATGCGGAACCACAAACTTGATACCCGCTCTCCCACTAACATGGCACCTCAGAAATGGACCCTAAAAGAGGAATTTGATCTTCCAGGTACCCTCCCGCTGGTGCTATATCTCTACAGTCACGGGAAAGAAACAACATCAAATGTGGTGGTTGGTTTGAGCCGTCATTTTTTTTCTTCTTTGCCTCTCTCGGTGCCGCAAAACAAATGTAGAACTCCGCTGGATGCCTGTGTTCAACCGGGCGCTCGTAGGGTTGGTGCAATATGTGGTGCTATGCTGTTGGTCGTTGAAACAGCTGCTAAAGGTCATGTTGATCTCAACAACTAACGTTTTGCACTCCAAGTAGAATGGAACCTGAAGGAGCCTCATTTGCATTGTCGTGAAGGGATCCTAGGTTTGGTGCTATAGCAATATAAGCGGAGGGCATTGGTTTATTTATGGAATTACCACAAAGCAACGTACTTGGACGAGGGATTTGTTGACCCATTGCCTTCATCATGTTTTCCTTTGACCACCATTGTTCCACCTGGCTCATGTTGCTATTTGTCAAAAAAAAGTATCCCTGGAAACAACTCACTTCCAGAGTAAATCAGTCAGAACATCCGCTTTTTGCTTGCCACTCACAAAAAACATACTCCCAAAACGTACCATGATGAGAGTCAGGCCCAGTTATAGAATGTATATTTTATTGCTTGCTTCACATGGACTCACTGACTCACTGGTAAAATGTAAAATGTATCCTAAGTCTACCCCAGGTACAAAGTCCAGGAACTCGTGGAGTGCGAAAATGAAGTGGGGCGCACGGTGTGAGCAACGCCCCGGCACGCCTCGCTGCCGGCGAGCGCTGGGTTTGACAGCCCCGCCAGGAAAATCGCCGGCACCTCGCGAGGGGTCGGCTGCTCGGCTGGTTGCAGCTCGACCAAAGATATGGCCATGGGTCAAAACCCCGGTTATCCCCCGGTGAACATCCCAATCCCCACTAAAATAGACTAAAGAGGGTGGTGCACCCAGCCCAAAATGGTACCATTGGTGTTGCCTCACGGGCATATCCCACAAGAATCCGTCTAAAACCGCAAAAGAGTGCGGTCCTCTTAAAGGCTGGACGTGTCCACCCCAAGACCCGAAGATGAAAGGGGGAGGTCTGGTTCCAATTTTTGTTGTAATCTTCCAAGCATGAAAGGTGAAAGGCAGTTGAAACAGAATTCCAGGGGCTGAAATTCACTTCCCAATTCAATTTGAGGGGTGGGATAGCTAATCGTTGAGGATCTAAGAAGATAACCTACCTCATACTTCCAAGAAATCATGAAAGTTACAGTGAACCGTAGAGCCCTGATGTATGTAGTGTTTCTCCATGTTACCCTTTGAACCCCCTGTAAACCCCTAGACTTGAACCCATAGCAACGCGCAAAGCATGCCAAGAACCCAAGACGCAAACAAACATATGCCGGAAGTAGTGAGTCAACCCCCTGACAGCAACGAAATACCAAGAGTTGGCTTAATCCTGATCGAGGTTGGGGATACTTTTCCCACTAAATTTGGTGCCCAGGTTCCTAACTGCAACCCACCAATTCCGGTGATGAAGGAACGGCAAAGAGCTTCCTGTTGATGGAAACCAAGAGGAACCTAACCGCCAGACAAAACCTGCCAGGAGTGGTAAACTCCATTCTGTTCAGGGCCCAAGGAACACGTGTTGCAAGATATCGAAGGGTGAAAAGAGCGGGGAATCAACCCTGAAAATTCAGCTTCGTCATACGCACCTCTTTGACATGGCGTACATTATCCTCCAGTCTGTCCGTTCTTTCATAACATATGCTTTTTCCAAAAGAATGAAGCCTTAGACTACCCTCCCACCAATTCCCATTAAAAATGACCTTGGACCCCCCGAAACGGCAGGTTCCACGTTTGGTGGGAGCGTACCTTTCCCCAGGTTCCAGGTTAACTCTCGATTCACCCAGTCAGTTGCACTCCCGTAGGTCACCAGGGGAAACCACCATGTAGAACTTGAGGGTACGGTAGACTAGGTCCTCCATAGAGGTTGGAACAAGGGTACCAACTTTTTCTGTAGTCTACTTTAGTAGGGGAACCCTCCCCCGAAACAACAGTAAAAGGGCACTGCTGGGGGACCTCGTAGAGCTCGCTGCCGCGCTTCGCCTCTCCCAGCCCCCAGCCCCAACCCCCCACCCGCCCCCCAACCGCCTCCCCGCTGCGGTTCTCGCACGGAAACGACGCCTCGCCCAGCGTGAGGCGATTTGCCGATGCCAAGTTGAGGCCGCTGACCAGGATGAGGCACTCGAAGCCCACCCAACACCTGTGGAAAAGCGACATCCGTGTCGCACCAGGAGCCTCAAAGACCCATGAACCTGTCATACCTACACAAAGCACGATGAATTTTTTTCGGGGAAACACGATGTTTTCGGAAAACCCAATATGGTGCAACCCGGAAGACAGATCTAACGTTGGCATGGAAAGGTGGCCATGAAATAGACATGGGGAGGATGCAACAGTCCGGTGACCATGGGGTGACCAGTGGTTGGATTAAAGATGAAATCTGTCCCGCTAAATGGGATCAGCTACCCATAGTCGTTTGTAGGCCGAACGGAATATTGATCCACCCTTGACATAGAAACGTGGGCATAGAAATGGATTATTATTTCCATGAAACTGTGGCATTCGTTCCCCAAACCGACGAAAAAGCAACATCCAGTTCTCACCTTGGCCAGAGAGGCGGAAATGCTAAAACCATTTGCTTCTCGCACCACCGGATGAAACCATGGCAATGAAACCACAACGTGTGGTGGCATTTACAGGGGAACCACGCGAATTTATTTGTTGGTATTTACGTTGGTGAGCAATACTCACGATCATCTCTAATTTGTGCTGGCACAACATATATCAAAACCTGAGTGGAATGGAGTACCAAACGTAAACATGATCCTATATAGTGGTAGTGTACTCCCAAACACTGACATGGAAGCCTCTCGAGAATCTGCGAAAGCAAGACCTGACGGCCTTGAGTGGCAGCTTCTGCTTTTAGCCAGGGCGCTGCAGCGACAAGAGCGCGGTGCTGAGGTAAGGCCCTTCCACAATCAAAGACCCCACGCTGGTTCGGAAGGGATCCGAGGGTCCAGGAGACCAACACAGGTGATAGCCGCCCGCGCTGCCGTTCGTCGCCTCGGCCAAAACTTGCCTGGAATTCGAACCCCAAAAAAGCTATACTTTTTGCCCGGTTAGTGGACAACACAGAAATGGGGCCCGAAAAAAGCAGCAAAGGAAGAAGGGGAGCGAATTCTGGGGAAAAGAACTTACCCTGGTGGTAACATGGACTTAACCCTGCGGTCCATATCCTGGTTTGATTTTGACCCATGCCCACATGGATGTCACCGGAAAAAGCTTTTTTTGGCTGCCCAAAGACTCCTGGGCCCGAGGCTTTCACTGGAAGACCCGAGCCCGAAGCGTGGCGAGATCTGCGAAGCCCTGCGAACAGTTTTCAACTTTTGGTGGTTTAATTCGGAAAACCCCTTAGTTGGCATTTTTTTGTAAATGTCCTAACATCCCTTGGCAAAATGCACCAAAGATTAGACACGGGAATTGGTGTTTGGGACCCGGTCTCAAAACCTGGCTGTTAAATAGGGCCCTTTTCTACATCGGGAGTTCTCTGGGTGGTAAGGAAACATAAAGCCACCAAGGCAAACAAATAGAACGGCAAGCTACTGTGGATGGACGAAATCCATTTAGCGCCACCTAAGGAATCCTAGAATGATGGCTCCCCTGTAAATACCAACAAGCAAAGGTGTCCCATGGTTTCAAAGTGGTGCGACATGGACTTTGTCCATCCACACTATGGCAAAACGTTTTCAGGGTACCCTCTAGGTGAGATCACTTGTACAGGATCCAGCTTTGGCAAAGTTCAGGAGGACACCAAAGGCATCACCGATTTCTAGAGGTGCGCAAGACATGCGCGTGATGTACCCAGCTTGTGGACACCTTCTTCTTCAGATACGGTAACATGGCCCCACTCATGACCCCAGACTTGTTTGGATCAAAGCGAGCGGCAAGTGTCGTATCATCCTGCACCCCCGAACCCCACCTCTGTTTTTTCACAAGAGACGAAAGCCTTGACCTTTGTGAGAGCTTCTTTTGGTGGCCATCCCCGCTTCGCTAAGATTGCCTTGGCCGCGGCATTCACGGGCCCTGCGCGAGCCACGTCCGGGCGAAGATCAGTTCTCAAACTGGTGCCGCTTGTGCACCAACCCCTTGAAAAACCTTTTGGGCGGCTGGAAAACCGGGAAAAAAAACAAAAAAAATGGAAAAAAAACATCGGGAAAAAACAACAAGGAAAACAAGAAAACAAAAAGCCAGGGGCTCGTTTTCGGTGGACTGGTCCAAGCCGAAAAGCGGTTCCCAGCAGAAAGGACTGGTTCGTGTCCGACTCGTTGGCCTCGAAGTAGGAGTTTCCGAAGCCCAGGAACTCCGCGGGCACGGCCTGTCCCAAAAACCAAAACATGTGGGCCAAAACACCCAAATAGATATATGTATATATATATAATCATATATATATATATATAATATGTATACATACAACACATATATCATTGTATATATAAGATATATAGATATATATATTATATGTTTGTGTAGGTGTACATATGTGTATATACACATGATATATAGATTGTTACATTGAACAAAACGTAGAAAGCCTGCACAAAAGACGCGTAACTGCGTAACCCCCCTGCCAGCTTGTGTTCAAAGGGCACCTCTCAAGATGCACGCCCGGAATCGTCCCCGGAATCGTCAGCGATTCCGGTAACTGACATGGATACTCAGCAAGGAGTCTTGTTTGGGGACAGGCGGATCCTTCGGAAACAAAAACTCAGCAAGCCGAAAGGAACTCTCCACTTGAGGCCTCCTTGGACCGCTTTGCTGGCCAAGGAGGGCAAAAAGGTACTGGAAGAATGGGTTGGCACGGATTTGGACCCTATTTGAGGGCTGGGCCTGTGACGGGGAACAAAAAGACAAGCCGGGCCCATACGTCTAGCTCTGCTGGAATTTCCCGGGACCAAGGAACAAGTCTGGATTGATAACAACCAAAAGAAACAATCAGGATGGAAGCAAGAAAGCAACATCATGGCTATATTTGCCCAACCAAGAGGGTGGTTCATAGCGGTAGATATGGGTGGTTAATACTGGATTGAATGTAAACAACATGATTGTCATATGAACCCAAGCTTTGTTTTCATGGTGGCCTGCCTGAACCCCAGGCTTGAAGCCACCACTCGGGGTTGCTTCAAAGACCCTTGCTTTCACCGTTCAGAACGTTGATCCAGGAGCCAAATACCTCTTGCCTCGCCTTTTGGCTTCCTTCTCTCTTCTTTTTGGGGTTCGGAGCAACCAAGTGAATACAGCCCCCTAACACTGAGGCCTGGTCGGCCAATAAAAACGGACAAACACAGAGGAAAACCTGACTGGTCGTTCATCTTGACATTAACTTTGAGGGACTCCAGTTGTTTCGAACAACCAGTTGTTTTGGGCCTAAGATAAAGTAACAGATCCAAAACCAGGTTCTGAAGCCACGTTGTTGACCCCTGATTAATAAACCCCGCTTATAAATCAGGATGGTCCCCTTCAAGAAAGGAATCCCCACCAAGAAGGAACCCCCCCTGATTACTCACCGGGGGGGGTATAATCAGGGGTTGGGAAGCCACACACAAAACTTGCCGGTGCTCAGTAGGGAATGTGGGAATGAACCGGAAGGGGATTCTCTTAGAGGAAACCACCAGTTGGATGGCTTTTCTCGGGGTCCTTCCATTTCTCATTCCCTGCATCTCTCACTGGGGGGCTTATTAGTTAGGGGTCAACATACCCAGGCTTTGGGTGGAAACCACAAAAAGCGAGTGGCCGGACCCGCTTTGCTTCCCGACCTCAGCACAGTGGTCCAGCGCAGTGCTCGCCGTGTCGTTGAGCTGCGCGAGGACCAAGGCGCCGTAGCCAAGGCCGGCGCCCTGCCTCGGACGGGATTCCTCTACCAAAACAAGAGAGATGTGCGCCTTGGTTGCTGCAACGACCCCTCTGCAAAAAGCTTTTTCTTTCTAATTTTGTGTGGGTCCAATGGAGTATCCACTGCTTCCCAAGAAGTCTAAGTGGGAAGCTCCAACCAAATGGCCACGAAGTCTGGGCGTCTTTGGGAAGGAGCTGTCACTTTTTGATAATTGTGGCGCTTTTCGAGGATGCCCGTTGAACTGCTTGCTGGAATTCGCATGGGCCTCAAACCTCATTTTTCAGAGGAAACATGGGCCTTTCCAGGGATGCTAAAAGGAAAGGCCCAGTCTGCAAGTCTCGAGTCCCTAGTGATTCTTTGAAGCCTCACACCGCAGCCATGAGCCCTGCTTTTGAGCCTCACGAAAGCCGAAAAGTCTGAGTGCTGGCAAGAAATGGTCCTGGGCCCAAGCAACAATGCCAGTCACCAATGATCACTAAGGCTTCCAAACAGAAAGGACCTCCCACGGCTGGTTGCCCGTTTTTCCTTTTGGTGTCGCTTTTTTTGAGCGTTTTTGCACTTTCTGAGTGCATTGGCCCAAACTGGTCCAAGCTATTCCTCTACCAATTTGTTTGACCCAATGAGCTCCAGGATCCTGGATCCTCAAATTCCCCCCGCTTTGGTGGCACCACTTTTGTGTCAAGATAGAGGGACCTTGAAACGCTGGTTTTCCCTTTTGCTTCCCTTTCAGCACCCCGAAACGGGAATCCTCCAACACACACGCAAACCCAAATGAGGGTGGTTTGTAAATTAGCCAGTGACCCTAGCGAAACAAAAAAACCAACCTCCAAAAAGCGAACGCGCAGACACACAGACACAGAGAGCTCCGAAGGCCCAAAAAAGCCGCGGTTTTGGGCCTCCCTCTCTCTCTCACGCCAAGGTGCAGCACCACCAGACAGGGCAGGCCCAAAGTGCACCGCCCATCGAAGTCCTAAAAACGACGACCCGTGCTCGGCAAATATCTCATGGACTTGGTCAGTGAAACATTTAAAACACATCTGAACAAGCAACAGACCTAGGAAAAAGAGGAAGGGTGACAATGTCTGATGCAGGGAAGAAAGGCTCCGAGAGGCTGAAAACACATAGTACAGGAAGCACAACATAGTCAACCTATTCACACTCTCGACGAGCCGTGGCAGCTTTGGCTTTTGGAGGTGTGTGCTCTTTTGAGGATACCCCCGTTTTGGCGTATAAAGAATCCACACCGTTTAACACAAACCCCGAATGTCATGCAGACCAAAAGGCCACCTCCCAAAACATGGGGCAGCACATGTTTTGGAGTCTCTCTTGGGCCTCTTGGGTTAAGAAGGTCCCCTCCCCCCCAACAAATCCAACCACCTTAAGACTTGGCGTCAAACTCGGCGTCCCTCCGAAACATCTAACCACGCCTTTAAAAGGCTTCCCTCGGCCACCCCGAAATTTGGCGTCCCTCTTCTTCCCTCCGAAACAAAAATCGTTTCGGACGCACCAAGGCGACGCTCCCACCGCCCCCCTCGTTTCCCCCCCCCCCCCGCGTCCCGGTGGTCGGCTCCTGGCGGGGCCCGCGGAGCTGAAACTGCCCGAGCCGCGTGAGGTCCTTGGAGCCCCAGAAGGGCGCCCAGCCTCGGGACTCGGCTTCGGCGAAAAATTCGGCGGGGAAGTGGCGTGAGGTGGGCGCGGCACCCGGGTGGATTTCCGCGTTCGCGCGAAATACGTGGGGAGGGGAAGTGGAGGGGAAACCGGGGGGGGGGGGGGGCGGTTTTCGCGTCACCCGGAGGGAAGTGGAGGGGAAGTGGGGGGGCCCTCCAAAAAGTGATGAGACCCCCACTCCAAAGACAACAAAAGCAAGAAAGCACCAGAGGAATAAGGGGTTGATTCATGCTGACATTGAGCAGTTTTGGGGCTGCCAAGAGTGCACACCGAACCAACATCGCTAGGCTTCAGAAGGGCAGATGTAAGTTGCCACACGTTGACCCTACATCAATCGGGTCCAGAGGTAAGGAGTGCTCATTCGGCCCTCTCCCGGCCTCCCTTTCTCTGTTTTTGGGATTCATGTAAACCTGGAAACAAATAACAAATGCCCTGGATCGCCAGTTGCTGCTTTTTAAATCAACTTTACCCCAAAAACCAGCAACAGTGACTGAAAAAAAACGCAACTTGGCTATAGCTTGCCTGGAGCTGAAAAGACGCGGACAACAGCTCGGACAGCCCACAAAACACACACACACACAGAAGGCAACCCGTCTTTGGGGTTGACCCCATTCTGCATGGATCCGCAACATCCTGAGCCCACCCACTCAAATTGTCGTACCAACATACAAATAACAAATGCCTTGGCCGTTTAACAACATTGCCCCTGGATTGGCAAAGAAAAGTTTAAACTGTTTGTTGCCTCTAAAATTGTCATACCAAAAAATATAAAGTCCAGGAACTCAGGAAGTGAGTTTTCTCTGAAAGCTTCGGCTCCGGAGCCCGGAGCAGGAGAGGGTTCCGGAAGGCTTCGGGCAGGCCTAACCTTAGGTTTGAGTGGAAAACCCCTTGGCTTCCCTTGGATGTCCCGAAAAATAAAAAGAAAGCAAACAGGACTCCACTTTTGGGGTACCCTCAAAAGGACATGTGAGTCATAATCAAAACCCGGTATTAAATTGGTCGACCCAGAACCATGTAAAGAATTCAGAAGGCGGCCGCAGCTACTTATTGTTGGGATTGTCCCTTACTAACCTTCTCTTGCCCGGGTTTTGATTGTGACTCATGTGTCCACCCATAGTTTTGGCAACCCAAACTTGCTGCTCCGTAGGGAATGACGCGAATGAACCTAGGGGTTCTCTTAAGGGAAACCACAAGGGAGGGTCATTCCCCCATTCCCTAAGAAACTGAAAGAGACCGTTGCAAGAACACACTCCATTTTGGGGCGCCCTCCAAAAAGAAACATGTCTCCACTCTTGGGGTACCCTCAAAAAGACGAGTGTCACCCGTAGTTTGAGCAACCCAAACTCGGTTGCTTTCTGCTCCCCTGCTAAAAGCTTAGCTTTTAGCGGGTTTGATACGGAAAACCCAGTAGTTGGCAAAAAGTGCAAAGGCGAACATCCAAGCAAAATGCGCCAAAGAAAAAGATGGCGGCTGAAGCCTCCCAGTCACGGACAAATGTCCAAATCCGATCGGCACCAGTTGGCTGGCGGGTTATTTTAGTCGTAGGAGCTCATCTATCCCGACGGATCCCGACGAATCCCGACGGATCCCGACGGATCCCGACGGTGGCGACCCAAACCCACGGTTTCGAAACCACAAAGTTCCGAGGCGCACAGCGCGTGGTCCAGGGACACCGCGCCCGTCAGCGCCGTGCCCAGGGCGTAGCTCCGATTCGAGGCCGACGCGCCCGCAGAGGAGTCGGGCTGCGGATTGGTAAAGCCAACCACCGCCAGGACCTGGAAAGTGGTTTGGTTTGGCTTGGGTTGGTTGGTTTGGTTTGGTTGGTTGGCGGTCTTTGGTTGGGTCTTTTGAGGTGTTGGCTTGTTTCGATGCGATGATTGTTTCCTGTCGTTCTTTCTATTGGTGTGCGGTGTTTTGCTGTGCTGCGTCTTGTTGTCTGGCCGGTCTTGTGTTTGTGTGTTGGGACGGTCTTGGCCTCACATGTTCGACCCCTCAGAATGATCCAGAAAAGCCAGGCACTCATCATGTGCGTTGTGGTGTCTCGCATTCACTGCCTACAGCTTGGCTGCCCTTCCAAAGGTGAACGAATGGCGGCACCCACTTGGTCCCAGTGATGTCCAACAAGATACATGGTGACAGGTCGAACCGAAGAGCAACGAAGCCCTGTAGAGTGGCAAATTGTTTGGTTTGCGCAATCCTGCAAAACATGATCATCAACCACAAACCAGCAAATTAACCATGAACAGCAAGAACCGTGAACCCACATGCGTCCTCAGCTGGCGTCCTCAAACGTGAAAAACGCCCCCCCCCCTTTGAATACTAGGCACTACTTCAAGGGCCAAAAGCAACTCGCCACTTCAAGGGCGCTGGTATCTTGGGAGGACTTTGCAAAACCCCCCAAAATGAACGTATACCACATATTGCTGTTTCCCATCGAATCTGTCATTTCTAAATCGATTCGCTTGAAACCATCTTGAAACAAGCACATGTCTGAAGATCGGCATCAGTTTACCATTTACCTGTTCATTCAGTCGCGTCCATACAGCATGCACGAATAGTACACTTAAACTGCTCTTGGAAGCACGACATGCCGAGAGGTCCCTAATACCTAGCCCTGGTGCTCTGGGCCAAGACTGCTTGAGACTAGTTATTGATGCCAAACAAGGCCTCTCGGCACTTGGGGCCTTTGAAGACAAGGGACCTCTCAGCACATTGGGCGTCCAATGGCAGAAGTCCATTTTACCTCATCTGAAACAACTCTAACGAGCTTGGTCTGCTTCATCTAAAACCCATCGAGCAAACAGAAAGGAATCCAACCTCCAGAAAACACATCTGTCAAACAATGCACACTGTCTGCTTCAGCACATGCCAAATAAAACACAGTCTGCTTCATCTTAGCTCCAATCAAACTCTGATCAGAATTCGGTCGGAATTTGAAACGGTCAAGCATGTAGAGCATGCTGAACAACATTGCATGCTTACGCGTGGTCTTGCATACCAGACTCTAGGTGTGGATCTTGGGGGGAGGGGGTGACCATACATAATCATGTGTATATGTATACACATGCATATATGAAAATATATATTATGAACACATATTGATGATGTGTGTTGAACGACAAAGCACTAAGCAAAACACAACCCACACTAGGTCCTCCAGTAGAGAGGTTAGAATAAGGGTCCTTTGTTTCTGTAGTCTGTTGCAGTAGGGGGACCCTCCCAAAAAAATGGTAAAAGGGCACTGCTGGGGGACCTATAGCGCAGCATCAAGGCGGACGTCTCCGCCTGCCTCTTCGCAGGCGGCGTCGAGCGCCACCCAAAGCACGCCGTGGGCGTCTCCGTCGTTCAGCGCCGACGGCAAGACGAGGTCGAGCGGGGACAACCTCACACCCCCGGCCATCTGACCCATCACACCAAACATGGGTGTGTCTTGGTTTTCCTTGAAAGGACCACTGCAAAAGGGGTACCCTCGAAAAAGGACAGCCCACACATTGTTTTGAGGGAAAGGAAAGGGAGTTGTTTAAAAACAAGCGGGCCATGGTAAACACAGTTGGGGGACACCAAACACACCATCCCCAAACACAGACCCCTGGCGCGGTGGCGCTTGGGAGAGGGTGTGGGGCCAAAGGGCAGAAGCAGTTGTGTGAACCAAAGCGGCCAGGAAATGACACGTGGTTCCTCTTTTTGGGAGACCCTGTGGCTTAAGGTCCATCCCTTCGGGAGCTCTTTTGGGGCCAGGTTAGAGCAGCTCACTTTGTCTCCGGACCCCATGTCTGAATAGCAACCTCCAGTGGGGAACGAAAGGGATTTTCACAGGCAACCCCGTCCTGAAAAAGCTGGAAACAGAAGCAACACTGAAGGTCTGGTTTTCAGAAGGGTCGTCCAGGATCCAGAATGAGGGATCCGAACTTGGTTGTACCGTAAAACTCGTGGATCGAATCTTGGCAAAGATGTAAGATGGTCGCAAACCTTGATTGATTGACCCATCAAACAACTCGTCGAATACATTGCTCATTAACGGACCGCAAAAGGTCATATATGAGAAGCCGCAAGCTTTGGGACCCCTTTCCCGAAGGCTGACCCCTCCAATGCAGAACCCGGACCAATTCCTCAGGGGGTTGCAAACAACCCGTGTTGAGGCCCAAAATCATTGGGAGCCTGGGGTTGTTGGTTCTAAAAGCTGTGGCCAAGCAACTCCACGGAGCAGTGGAGCCCGAGGCTGCAGGACACATCTTGCAGCGCTGGGCCTGCCAACTCGAATCCATGCGCCCCAAAGCCCCCGTGGTTTCGTTTGTGTTCGAAGAAAACAGAAACGGGGAAAAACCTGAATTAACTGCTTGTTCGGCAAAAAAAAGAGTTTGTTGGAAGGACCCACTGTTGATTCAAACACAACACCACCCTAAGCCAACAAAACACACAAGCACGACACAAACGCCAGCCAGGATGCTGAACTTATTACACTCGTGAAGGCAAGTAAGCAGGACATGTTCTAACAACAATTGCCAACTGGACTGGTAAGTCCCTGCCCCAAAAGTGTGACTCCAAAAAAGGCGCAGTCTCAAGCGGCTCCAACTCACACCTTGCGAGAGGCCGACATCAACATCCTTCCGCGGTCTCTTTTCAGCAGACCTTATTTAACTTTGTCCTATGCAGATCCCTAGTCGAATCGCCAAGTTAGAGAGTTCCTGCCTAGATGTTCAAGCCACTTAGGCTGCTTGGAAGGTCAACCCACTTAGGAGGCAGGTGATAGCAATACTTGCAAATTGGAAAGCACACATTGGCGAACCGAAAGCCAGAGTTACAACCTCTCTAGGATGGCTTCTGCTTGGTTGCATACCCCATTAAACCACCGGGGGTAGCTTCGCTTTGGGGGTGGAAACTGTTTGGCTTCCAGCTTACCGAGGGGGAGACTCGATCCCCACCCCGCTCCTCCCAGGCATAGATCCCGTGAGCTCTGCAGTGCCAAGATGTCCGCGTTGTACGCGGGGAAGCCGTACATGGCGCCCGAGGGCGTCAGCGCGAGGCCGCTGTATTGATGCTCCCCAGCCATGGCGAAGCCTTCCAGAACCTGCCAATGCGACTTGGATGACTTCGGGTACAAAACTGGTCTGGATGAACCCGATTTGAAGACTGGGATGGACCACCTACAAGGTGCGAGCTTTTGGAATGGTCTCCCTTCACCCGAATCACTGCTCGCAGGGATCTCATGGATTACACGGTGTAGATAATAATAATGTACGTAGATGTATATATATATATACTCGACTTCCCTCTGGGGCTGGTTATCATAACATGATTTCAAATTTAGACCCTGAAGAGGTTTAAAATTCGAGGTGCTTGGTTGGGGGGCGGTGCTGGTGTTTTTGGGAGGCAAATAGGTATGGTGTTCTGTGAGAGGGTCCATAAGGCGGGTTCCTGACCAAGCAACAAACCAAGACCCGCAAAATGGCTGCATTTCAGGGAAACAAGAATTAAAAAAACCCAAGGGTGACAGATATATCCCCTGCTTCTCATCAGATAGGATCCCGTGTCTCAATTCTCCTTCCAATGGCGGCAACACTTGATTTTGTTCAAGATTCCACTTTCCGAACCCTATTTCTTCACCTCTCGACACAACATTCCAAAAGACCCAAAAGGCACCCGCTCAAACGACAAAACCTACAGCTAAAATAAGTATCTCTTGTTTGGTGGGTTTAATGGAAAACCAAAAAGTAAACCGACACCATTTTGCGGAGCCCCCAAAAGACAAATCCACAGATCCCATCCACGAATCCGGCAGGTGCCATGCCGTACTGGACCCGATGTCCGGAAAGGACCCTTTGAAGTGTCGGACCTCGAAAGGAAACTCCCATTCACCGCTTTGGCTGCATTGCAGTGCGCCCTCTATGACTTTTGGGCCTAGAATGGGGTTGGGTATAAAGCGAATGACCATCTAGGTCATGGGAGCAAAGTGAAGTCCGAGTAATTACAGTGTTGAACTATTTGTTTTCACCCCCCCCCCCCCCGGACCCCCCAAAAAAACTGAGAGCAAAGACTTCGAATCAAAACGGAAACCGCCTCTTCCACCAGATCCGCGCTCGCGTTGATGCGCAGCACGCGCTCGGTGTCGTAGGGCGCCACATAGATGGCGCCATCCTACCGAGCCACGCGAAGCCAAGGCCTATGACTGGGCTGTCCGTGGTCTGATCCGCCGAAAGTGACGGACTTGTGGGTGAAATGCGGAAACCCCAACCACCAAAAAAAACCAACTGCAAACCTACCGGGATGGGCCAAACTGATCCGCTGGTGGGTGACATTCGGAACCCAACCACCCCTCACGTTTCTAGAAACCACCAACAACCTGAGGGACAGTCTATGTCCAATGGGTTCGGGACATGGGGAGGACGTAAATATCCCAAACAACCTACATGGTGCTAAGCATCCTTTGACCATGTGGCACATTCCCCCGTCATAGCTCTTTGATATCCTACGTCATTACCAACCAAAAGGGTGATGTGATCCAACTCCTTCTGCCTCTGAAATCATCTCGGGACCTCAGCCTTCCCAGTGCCTTGGACATACAACATTCGCGTAATGAAACGAGAGCCCTGCCTCTTCGCTCCTCCAAGAAACCACACGAAGGTAACCCAAGGGTCTTGTGGATTGAATCCGACTCAAGGTGGAAATGACCCACAATCAAGGATCCAGAAACGACTCGTTTACAGAAGTGGGATATTTGCCAAACCCTAATTCACACTACCTGCTCTGAACAGCATGCCAACACATGTTGTTTCTTTGATCAGGAATAGGTGCGTTTGAAAATGGAATCTACCTGGATATTCCACAGCCCTGACTTGTTGCCATTTCAACCGTCCGAGCAAATGGCAACAGGACAATTCCTGGCAAAGCCCATATTTCTTGATAAGCGTGGCAAATTGAACGGACTGTGATTTTCAGGGACCTCTCAACCACCTGAGAAACCCTGTCTCACTTGCAACCAAAGGACCTGGGCGCAAAATATGATTACCTTGCACATAAGTCCAAGCAGGAGGAATCCAAAAGGTCGACTCACCTGCAAGTACTCAAACTTGCACGAATCCCATGAGGTTCAGAATGAGATCCCACATATAAATGCTCTGGTGGTTCCATGCTGCTCACGGATCCGGGCCCCTGCAAAGTGTTGCTGGTTGCCCAAGAGGCTGAAAGGTCAAGCTGGGAATGGTTTGGCAAAACAGGGGTGGAGGTGTTTTTGTTTTTGTTTTTACTAACCCTGGTTTTTTCCAACCAACCAACCAACCAACCAGGGCTAAGGGGGGACCAGGGCTAGGGGAAAAAAAAACACCATCTCCGCAAGACAGGCACAGTCACAACACCAAAGCATTGCAATCACTTGTCTCCTCTAGCCGCAGTATGCTCCAAGCTACCACAAAAGGTCAACCAAGAAACACAAAACGGTTTGTCTGCCGTGAGCCCGAAGCCGGGCGTGTCCCCGAGTCCCCGACTCGCGACGCACGAGCCAAGCATAGGTGTCCTTTTAGGGCAAATAGATGGGTTTCCCTGGTAGATGATTACCCCAGGTAAACCAGGAATCGCCCTCTATTTTTCTGTACCAAAACAACTAAGGACACCTATGCTCCTTGCGGTGTGGATTTTGGTTGATTATGGCCATCTATTTTTCCACATCAGCCAAAAAGGGCATGGAGCCAAGGTGCCAGCGCCAGTACCCCCGAGTGCCACTTGTAGAGACCCCCGCTGAGCAGCGGCCCGATCAAGCTCACCTCGGCGAAGTCACAGGCCCAACCGACAAACTCCAACCGCTGGCACCGACGTTCGGCCTGAGGTGATTTCTTGGTTTGCTGTAACGACCCCTCCGCAAACAGCGAACCACTGGTGCGTCCAATTTAACAAATCCCGCTGATTTGTAAAAGGTTCAAGTCCAAGGATCCCTCTCACCAAATCGTGAGAAAGTTGATTGGTCTTTCCCAGACGCTCCCGATTGACTTTGGGCCCTCAAGCATCCAGGTTTTGAGACCCCAAACCCCCTCTGGGGTGTCCAATGGAGGGTGTGGGTCTTCCATAGGAAGCCCCAGGAGCGTCTGGGTTGAAAGAGAAGCTGTTTCAAGCGCCATTCCTCTTGGAGGATTTTCCCATGGCGTCACCCGAGCAAAGCCAAGGGGCCTGGTCGTTGCTGGTATCGATGACCAAGACTTGGGCGGCTCCATGTGGCACCCCGAAGATCCTCTCCATCACTCGATGGCTGGATCAAACATTCCCATGGCTCCCAACTTGGTTGCTTTCTGCCCTGCTAAAAGTTTTCAACTTTTAGCGGTTCAATACAGAAAACCCATTAGTTGGCAAAAGCTTGAAGTCCTCACATCCAAGTAAAATGCGCCAACGTCCATACCATCCATTTCGAGCGAGGAAGCTCCTGATCTCACCTCCTCAGTGGATCGGTCAACAAAAAGTCCCAAGCTTCTTCGTTGCCACTATGGTCTCTTCTTGCAAAGTCCAGGAACTCCAGTGAGAAACCCCACCGTGTAGTTCTTGGGGTTCCCGGTTCCATGGCCTGATTTTTGCCTGAAGGCGATCGCATGCGATCTGGTCGCGCGCAGGTCCTGCCATCGGGACCCAGCACGCCCTGCGACCATTTCCTCAGTTGCAGACCCGGAAATACATTCCCTTCCTCAGCAGACCAGGACATATATTAATATTCCCACTGGGTGCCATTACTAAAGCTAACGTCTTTGAGCGTCAAAAAGCCAGATGTGGAATGTTTGTTGGCTGGGGAAACGGTCACGTTTCCAAAAGTTAAGAGGTTGCAGGTCAAACAACCAAGCAAACAAGAACAGTAAACTTGCATTTGCTGAAGGTCCCTGGAAACAAACAATATTTCCAGTAGTGATCGATTCCTTTTAAAACCAACATCCCCTATTCTTAAACAAATGGAAGTAAAGCAACAGGGCACCAATTAAGTGGTTGGATTTCAACCACTAAAGCACAATAAGCAAAACTGTCAAATTTAAATCCCAACAACAACCACGATAACCAAATCACTCTAGAACTACAGTAATTGGGGAACGAGCCAATTCAGATGGCCGGACATGTAAAGAGGTGGATACGCTTTGAGCCACTAAGCTAAACTGCTGGACCATCAACTCGCATGGCTTCGGCCAGAGCTTCCGCTCTGTCGAATCCAGCAGACCTCCGCCATCCATGAGCTCCACCGTGGCGTCTGCGCCGCTTGCGCCGGGATGGATGCGGAGGATGGCCGTGGCTGAGCCGGGCATGCAGTAGATCTGGCCTCACTTGGCTGTGGGTCCGAAATAGGTACCCAAAATTTAAAATGGCACCCTGACTAAAACCTGTGGTCCCCCGGTGGTTTAATTTTGACCATACCCACATAGGGCTCGGAAGGAAGGGCTCTGAGAACCATTCTGGTGCGCAGCGATCGCAGAACCGAAGATTCGGCTGTGGGTCACAAATAGGGTAACCCCAAAATGGGTTGCCGTGGTAAGTGGAACCATGGACCAAAATTTGCGGTCCCCTGTTGGTTTAATTTTGACCCACTTTCACAAAGCACAGGGGTGCTCAGAGTGGTCTGTGCCGCAGGGTCTCCTGGAGGTATGATGCACTTGTCTCGAACACGGCTGCAAACAAACAAAATTGCCTTAAGGGACGTTAACCCTTGCTTCAGGGAGATATTAGTATGGGTCAAAATTAAAGCACCAGGGGACGGATTCATCCGGAAAGCTGGTACGAGTATGTGGTATTTGTCAGCTGGGGTGCTGGACACATAAATAGAAGGTGAAAAGGAGAAGGTCAACCTTTGACTCCATTCATTCCCAGCTTCTGTGGATGGGTGACTAGAGGGACCGCCGAAACGTGCAATGACAATGTGTATTCGGAAGACACGGCTGCCGAAGATGCTCGTCTTGTACATGAAGCAGCGGTATGCATCATGTGCTGTATGGTGTGCATCGTGAATGTGTACTCTGGCGTAATCAGGTTCTAAGATACCATACGGCTGTGGGTCCAAAATATGTACGCCAAATAGAACCCTGGCAAGTGGAAACATGGACCAAAACCTGTCCCAGTTTGTGAGACGTATGTAATGCCAAGAAGCAGAAAGGAAATGACTACTGGCCAAGGCATTCACTCGGGAAGAAAAGGGCTTGGCCATGATTTCTTAATTGATTTAAAACTTAAAGAAACATCACACACCCATAAATTACAAAGCAGGATGGACCACTGGCTTCTGATTAGGGCGTAGCCTCTGGTTGTTGGTTGGAACTCTTTAATGGGAAGTCCCACTAAGGTGGATGGATGGAATCCTTTGGGCAACTTGAGAAAGATGCCCGCGGGAACCGCAAAAGGGAACCAAATCCTTTCGTAACCCGGATGAAAAATAAGTTTTCCCTTTCAACTGTTCGGTTACACATGGTAAATGGTGTGTGTGTGTGTGTGTTTTCTTTTTCCCGAGTCTCGTTCGTGCGAGAAACGGTGCTCGTGATTGCTCCCCTTTGGACCCCTGGACTAGAGATTGGCTTTGAGCAACTGAGGCAAAGCGATGCCAACTTGCCATGGTGTCAATTCAAACGAATATAGCGTGTTTCTCTTGTAAACCTGCTGCCTCATACTCGGATCCCTAAACATGGAGGACGGTGCAGCTATGAACTAAGTGAGTCCCCCCCGAACGAGCAACACAAACACATATCCACCTTGTCAAGGCTAATTAAAACGAACAGATTCTCAACAAAGAGGCTAAGGACCCTTCAAAGACCATTGAGTCAATGAGACAGGGGGCGGTTCATCCCCACCGAGAAAAATGTGGCCCTCTTACCTGATTTTCCTGTCCACCCAAAAAGACAACATCTATATCTGGGGGCAGGGGTCCCTAGCATACCCGAAGTGCAACAGACACGAACAGTCTAGTTTTTGCGGGATGACTGATCATGGGAAAACCAACATGAGAAAGCCAACGTGGACAAACCAGCATGTGCTAACCTTCTGGCCATGTGTCTTTTTTGATGGGACCCTTTCTGAGGTCGCTCAAAAATGGGAAAAGGACAACCACCGCTCGGAGTCCACCAACTGACACCAGATGAACCAGCATGGAAAAACCATGGACATGGTTGACCTCGGGTTTGGGGAGCAACCATTCTCATTTTTTGCAGCTAAGTGGTTGGATTTCAACCACTAAACGACAAGAAGCAAAAATGTAAAATGGTTCCCAACAACAACCATGTGGAAAGGTCAAAAGAACGACTTTGGGCAAAAGAGCTATTCCATACATTTTGAACACAACAAGACTCCAACAATTTTTGTCTGTCCAAGTCGCCGTCAATGCCCACCACGCCATGCATCCACTTCAGGCTGTCCTTGCGAATTGGCTGAACAGGTCCAAAAATGCTTGAAGCCCGTCCAGGAGGAATGCACAAATAAACAAGGGAGGTAATAAAGGTTTCTGAGGAGCTGTGCATTACACCGAGGTATGACCAACATCTGTTTCCCGTAACAAAGGTGCCCCCTAACAAAATATGCGGTCAAACAATCCAACGTCACCAATACTAAAATAGTCTAGGCCAATTCTAAAGCTATTTCTGACACTGACCTCTCCAGTCGTATTAGGACTCTTTGTTCTCAGTCAGCAAGCAGCGCTTTTGAAAGAACACGGGGTTGCGGTTTGCATTTATTGTTTTCCACAAAACAGTCGTCTGTGACCCTTTTCAGGCGCGGCAGGGGGTACATTCCAAACGCAAATTCGGCCAATTGCTTAAACACAAAATTGTGGAAATTGTTGGCTGCTCATGACCGACCCTGCGCAGGCTTCTTAGGTGGAGCAGGATTTCGTCCACAGTCGGATGATACCCCCATTCTTTGTATCCGATAGCCTCCAAGCGGCCCATGCAAACATTGCCCTGACTGTGAAACCCACTTGGTGCTGGAGACTGAGCGCCTGTTGAGTCAGAGCAAGAGGGGACGCTGCAACCTAGTGACCCCTTAAAGGCCCGTCGAGGCAATATGAGCCATGTTCAAAACTCCCTTGCCGGCCTATGGGCATGGCTCTCTGAATAGGAACCATTATAATGGCGACTAAGGATCCTTACTACCAGTTGGATGACCATGCCTCCCAACTAGGGGTCTTTTGACTAACAGGCGACAGGTATTTTTGCTATTTGTCCACGCCCTCAAACCAACACCCTGAAATCTGGCTGGCTTTTGGGGCGGGTTTGGACTTGGACCCATTCGAATTTTGGCACCCATGCAGACCCACTTTCTTGGCTTGGTTTACAATGGATGATCGTTGGTCCGACCTCCAACCCTCGAAAAAAAAATGTGTGTGGAGTGCCGGCCATCCGGAAAGAAGCCTTGTTGCTTTTTGTGCATTGAGCAAAGATCTCAAGGTATTCAGGAAGGGACCAACCATCGAGGGGGCAATACGTGTTACAACCAGGTCAACCTGTTGATGGCGTTGCATGAGAAAGGGGAACAACCCTTGATCCCCGTTCCTTTCACCCAGGAAAATGCTTTTTTTGAGAAGCAATTCACTATTCAATTGGTTTTGACATGTGTCAAAGCAACATTCCCTTAGCCTTGAGTAGTTGCATCGAACCTGGGCAGGGCGTCAACACTTTTGGTGGCTAGTTCCATTTTGGTTGGAAGCAAAACCTCATGAGAAACTGTGTGGAGGTTTTTGGAGCCAAACAGCTCAGAAAGTGAGAGGCGTCAAACAGCCAGCCCAGGCAACCCAAGCTAGACCGTGGTATCCCGTTGCCAAGTGTCTCAGAACGCCGCCAGCTTTCAGTACCATTCTCTATCTATAGAAGGCATGTGGAGTTGAACAGCCATGCACCTTGACCCAATCTCACTTCCTGAGCTTATGTACTTTAAAACAAAAAATGGGTTTGAAGTTTGGACCATCCTAGTGGCAAACGAAAAGTGTGTCTTGCATAGCCATCCACTCACGAAGTGGATGCTACTCCCTGAAGGGCATGGCTTTGGCATCACTGAAGGGAAACACAAGGCTTAGGGCCCCGGGCCCCGGATGTTCGTATACACGGCGATAACATTTTTCGCGCAACGCGTAAAGCGGCGTAAAGATCGCGCCGTTTGGGTGTGGCTCAAAATTGAACAGGAGGGGCAAACCGCAGGTTTTGGTACCCATGTTTCCACTTATCAGGGTTCCATTTTGGTACCGGTTTTTGAGCCACAGCCATTGGTGCGAAACCCGCTTTTGATACAAACCCCATAGTTGTCATGCTGTCCATTCGGGAGAAACAAACGCGGGTTGTCCAGCACCCGTCGCATTCAGGGCTGAACCCGTTTCCCACCCGAACCGTCGCTTCGGTTTAGGAGTCTCCTCGCTGAAGTTCCCTAGTGTGAGCACCTCCTGCGTGGAGTGGCGGATGTGCAGTGCGAAGGTGGCGTCCGCGGGGACGGCGAAGATATCACCCGTCCGCGGGGACACCACGGAGTGGAGGAAGTTCTGCAGCGAGCTCGCCTAGATTCCATTCCCAGCAAACCAACGCCCCCTAGAGAATACTCGCTGGGGGTGTTTTGCCTCTCTTTTTTTCGCTGGACAACCCGTTGGTTTCGAAGGGGCAAGTTTCCGGACGGGTTTGTATGTTATTGTTGCGAAATACACCTTCTTGGTTGGTGTCTTAAAGGGAAACCAAAGAGACACCACCCATTTTGCAGGGGGGTATCCGTATATAAAGTGAGTTCGCCTGAGTCAAAGGGTCGGTCTCCATGGACGGCAGCGAAAAGGATGTTTCAAACAGTTTCCGCAAGAAGCACACCTGGGGTCAAGGGTCTGGGTGTGATTGCTTTTGTGAGAAACCCTTTTGGCGGATCTTGAAGGGGAACGTGTGGAATGAGATTCGATCCCCTGCAAGAATCTAAGAGTTGTGTGGCTCGGGTGAGCCAACCAAAACTGATTTCCAGATTACCCGCTCCCTGTCAAGGCTCTGGGTGTGTCAATCCGTTGCTTCGGGTGGGAATCCCTTTGGTTACAAGCGCAACCGAAAGACCAACAGCCTGTTTGTGTGGCTCGGGACTTCTTCAAAAAGCTCAGGGTGGCTTCCCCGCAAACGACGCAAACCCCCCGCCCTGTGGATGCACGAAATCTATTTCGCAGCGTTCAGAAGCCTGGCTTCTGGTCGGGCCTCTGTGGTTTCAACATGTTTCAACCACGGTTGGTGCAGGCGTTCATCCATAGTAGGTTCAGCAATTTCCGCAAGTCTGGGATGGTTTGGGGAAATGATCAGAGTTCAAAAATAGCCAGCTGGTATTGGCATATGGCTGTGGGTCAAAAAGAGGGTAACCTTTAAATGGCTTGCCCTGGTAAGTGGAAACATGGGTACCAAAGCCTGCGGTTCTCGTGGTTTAGTTTGACCCATATGATCGCTGGGACGGATCCCAGGGAGTCTGCAAAGTCCACAGAAATAGCAAGTCGACAGAAAACATCCTCAAACAACAACACCCGCACACCGACACACGCCCGTATCGACCCAGAGTGTTCCGGACTCGTCGCCAGCGTTGATCCGATGGCGAGCTGTGCTACACTCAGCGCTGCAATGTCGATGGCAAGAACTGTCGACGCGCCGGCAGGCACGGCGTAGATCTGGCCCCCACTGGTGACACCGTGCAGCCTGGAAATCGCAAGCTACCGATGCTATGCCTAGTGCTTCCAGATACGATTATAAAAACACAAACCCTGGATATGGTAGCAAAAACGTTGGTTTTTGGCAGCCCTCCCCTCACTAAAAATGAACAGAGCCAAAAAAGCTAAGAACCTAAAACATGACAACAGCCGTGAACCGTGAAGGGAATAAACTAGCGGAAAGAGCCAAACAACTGGATACTCTGCATCCCTTCCACTAACATAGCACCTTTGGGGTACCCAAAAGGCCATTTGACCATGCATTTTCCTTGGATTCTAGTCCTGTGGTGGGTTCCATAGCAATGATCCCTATACACACTCCCTGTGTCCTTTAAGGGAATGCCTAGGTTCATTCCCCTGGCAGCACCAGCAAGGGCAAACACCCGTATCAACGGAAAAGATTAATGCGGTTGCTGGGTACAAGTATCTCTGTTGGGCAGTATCTGTTTGTGGTGTGTTTGTTGGGTATCCACATGAGGGTTGCTCAGAAGAAAAAGGGCCCAAGTTGGTTCCCCGTTGAAAGCGGTTCACACAAGGGCTCATGATATACACAAATCTATCAGCAGTGACTCATCTGCTTCTTCGTTTTCCATCAAGTCCGGATTCTCGACAACAAACACATACTTTCGAAGAAGAAACAAACACATCCCAAAGCGGCTACGCTTCGAAATGGGTCTGGTGGAAAACGGTTGCCCTCCATGTCGATGCGCCCGAGATCTGAAAAGGTCAACTGCGTAAGTCATTTGCCGTTTGGCCACAAGGCTTGTTCTGCCGCTGGGAGGTTTACAGGGTACATCTTGGAGTGTTCAAGTGCCCCAATGTCTTCACCCAAGCTTGTATGAGGCATGTTTGCAGCTTACATGGAAAGTGGAAACCCCATTTCAATGGCATCCCACTGCAGACGATGGTCACAAAAGTTTCCGCAACTCCTACGTAAAACTTGATAGTTATCTATGCATGTTGGGAGTACTGGCCATTGCGACCAGTCGCAGTTTGGCTTGATTGCTGGTGCTCAGTAGGGAATGAGGGAATGAACCTGGGTTCCTCTTGAAGAAAACCACAAAGGATGGTTTATCGGGGATTCCCTCATCCCTGCTGAGCAGCAGCTTTTTTATACGAGTCAGTTCAGGCTTGGTCAGCTTCTTTGGTTGAGATGAATCCTATCGCTTCAAGAGGTTGGCTCGCTCGGTAGAAAATAGTGGTTCAACTTCTGGTGCGCTGAAGCAAGTCTGGGCTTGCTGGACGTGCCTAGGGCTTTGGGGCGCAGGAATCCGGGCTCGGTCACATGGTTGTTAAACATGGCGTATATGCTTGCTGCGATGCCAATTGTCAGGCCTTCCAAATGAACAACATCTTCCATTTGGGAATTTGGAATGTTCCCGCAATATCACAGCTGGAACCTCCATCATGGCAAGGTCGCACACTTTGTTGCGTTTTGATTGTCTCACCGGTGAGTGGACTTCTCTAGTCAAATAGGGGGTATCTTCTTTTTAGGGAACCTCTTCTTTTGTAGTTTGAAAGGAACACCGACAGGAACGCCGCCATTTTGGGGGTCCCACCTCAAAAGACTCTTTGCAAACCCCCCCAAATTGGTGGTTCTCCTTTTGGCTCCCCTTTCAAGCCACTCCGAAAAGAGAAATTACTCTCCCAAAAAAAGGCGAGCCACGATAGGCGTCCTTTTTGGAAAATAGATGGGTTTCCCTGGTAGATGATTGAACCACCAGGTAAAACAACCAGGGCCTTCGATTTTTAAAAGCAAAACCTATGCGAGCCAAATGTCTGTTTTTGGAGGGTGCCTCCTTTTGTGTGGTTCAAAAGGCGAACCAACAGGAAAGCCAGCCTTTTGGGGGTCCCCCACAAAAAGACACACCCGAATAAATCAAGAAGCCATTTGTAGCCGTCGGTCCCCACATCCCCGAAGAACTCCAAGGCAGAGGAATTCCCCTCTGCCGCCAGCGCCAGGTTGATGCGCATGACCTCAGTTCCATAGAAGCTGTCCCGTCCCGCCATGAGATCCCCTGCTAAAAGTCAAAAACTGTTAGCGGGGCAAATGGAAACTACCACTAAACCCTGAAAAGCAAAACAGCTAAAGGGATGGCTGGGAACGACTAAAGGATCCGAAAGCCTAAAGAACAGGACGGCTGGGAGCCACCCTTTTTCTCCACAATAGGAAATCAAGCATCTCAAAGGAACGTTCCGCCAGCTCGCCTTTTTGCCCCACTCTGCGGTTGTTGATGAATATGCTTTCCAGACACCCAATAAACCCGACGCTAGACTCGGATTCAGCAATGCTTGGTGAATTCTATTTAAGTTATGAGTGTGGCGGTAATCGTTGGCAATATCAGAGCATTCAAACGGGGAAATGCACGCTTAGAAGGGATTAGTGCCATTCTGAAAGGGGACGCCAATGTCCCGTGATTTGCAAGCGCCCGTACTTTTAATCCGAGGGTTACTTTCGACTACCTTTCCAGCAGGGGAACATCCTGGAGAAGGATAATTCCCTATGTTCCCCTTCAAATATCATCCAAACCAGCCAGGTGGCTAATTCACCCTGGGAAGTGTGGGGATTCGGTCTTCTTGCAGCTCTCAAACATCAGCCCAGTCCGAAACTCAGATATTGGCCGAACCAAATATCATCTTCACAAAAAGCAGGAGCCGTACTGTGGACTGTGGATGGACAAAATCCGTTCGCAGCGCCTAAGAAACCATGGAATGATACGATTCCCCAGCACAAATACCAACCAACAATGGTTTCAACCGTGGTTTCACTTCGTGGTGCGACCTCGGCTTTCGCAACCATCCACAGCCTGCCCTGTGGACATCTGAGAATCGATTCATCGATGCGGCCCGGATCTCTCCGATCGATTTCGGGATTCGGCTCACCTGCGAGGCGGAGTAGGGGATGGCGTACACGAAGCCGTCTTGGCCCAAGACCACTGACCCGAACTTCGCGAAGCCACCGGCGATGGACTGAGCAAAGCGTAAGATCAAACGGACTCGGCGAAATGGCAGTGGGTCAAAAATCGGTACCCCAAATGGAACCCTGGCAAGTGGAAATGGACCAAGACCTGCGGTTTTCTGGTGGTTCAATTTTGACCCATATCCAAATGGGCGTGTCACTTTTGAGGCTGCACACCGCCCGAATCGGGTGGTTTTCCTTTTGGTTTCCATGTAGCTCAGCCCCAAAAAGGGTATCCTCGAAAGAGAGACCCAAATGACTCGATTGTTTGAGCAGCTTCAACTGACTTGGTGGAACGACCCTGCAGGAAAATATTTAAGGGCGTTTAGGTCAAGGATTTTAAGGCACACCGAAGTCATTTGGGTCCAAATCCTTTTGGCGCAAGCTGGTCGACATTTGACCCTGGGAATGGTCCAGTTGGGAATCGCCTTTCTAAAGCTCGCCCTTTTCTTAGGCTCAACTTGGACCGGAGACGTTTCGCTGGCAACCTAAAGAAAAGAAATCCTTGGCCGGAAGGACTCCTTGGCTGACCTGGAGGAAACTTGCTTGTGGCCGCTGGGAAACTATGAAGGAAGCCCTTTCCCAAAGGCAGCCCTGTTTGAGTCAGACTCAAAAAGCTGAGTTGAACTGGACTGCACATGCGACATCTCTTCAAGGCCTTGCGACAGTCCAATGCTGATCCTCAGCCTTTTTTCTCGCAGAAGGCAACGAAAGACAGTTCTTTCGGGGGGAATCCGCCAAGGCGCGGTCCAGAAGTCTCCCCTGAAAAACATACATCAGAGCAAACCAACCCGGGAAGGCCTTCCAAACCAACCACATCGGAAACCAAACAAGGTTCAAACAACACGACACAATGTTTCACTGTTTTTTTGGCCACAACTCAAATGAGACACCAACCTATAATAAGGGGCTAAACCAATCTTTTATCCGATGCTCCTGACTACTCTCGTGATCACTCTTGTGTAGTGGTACGTAGCTCACAACCTTGTTCAAAGTACGGTTCAATAAGTCTACCCAAATCCAGAAGAAAGGAAGGGCGGAACAGAACAGCTTTGCGCACTCATTCGTGGTGGGCTTCAAATCTGCTTGGAACTGGTCAGCTGCCTGTTTTGGGGGGGGCAACAGAATCCTGTCAAAATGGGGACGAACAAATGGGACGTCTATTCTCTTGCGAGTTTCAACAGGTTCTTTCAAGGTGAAAATGGCCTCCTTAAAGACGCACGCAGCAACGGGAGGTTCTCATGGTGCGCCCTCTGTTGGATTGAAACCAACCCTTTTCCAGCCCTGTTCTGTACTTGGGATTTTGGACCTTCCAGCTTCTCTTTCTTCTCTTCCAATTCTTCTCATTCTGGGATTTGAAAAAACAGGTCCCATCCCAAGACGCCAGGAGTTTCAAGAATTCAAGGAAATCTGGGAGCCCCGTCCGAGACAAGGGGCATTCATGTATTTCTTGCTTTCTCTCCACGAGCCACGTAGACAGGGCTTAGGCAGCTCAATTCAGCGCACTTAGCTCCGCAATTCCAGGCGTTTATGTAGCATGGAATTGCGAACGCATGCACCGACATGGCGCCTTAGGTTGGACCTTTGTGGTGCAATCTGACCTGGCTTGGCAGGAGCTAGCGCAACGCAGCTGCTAGCAAGGGCTTGAATTGTGTTACGCCCTGTGTTTACAGGGAAGGGGTCTGTCTCAGTGCTGCCACTTAAATATCCTAATTAATATTGCATACTACCTCCGGGTGGCCCGGCCAACCACCTTAAATATCCGCTTTAAACAGATGTCCTACACTACCTCCCAGTCCTGAAGCCCTGGCCCGGCCCCCACATATTTACAAGTCGGCATCGTACGGCTATAACTAACTCACTTCCTGAGTGGATTTGCCAAAACAAGTAACCAAACTGTTTATTTATCACTAAACTGGTCCAAACCCAAAAAGTGACTAAAGTCCAGGACGTCAAAGAGCGAGATGGCTTGGGTCAGCTTCCCTCTATTTGGTGGTTTGGATTGGTGGTTTGGTTCAGTACAAAAGCCAGAGCTTCCAATCCGGGGGGGGAGGGAAAGGAAAAACAGCTACCAAACCACCAACTCAGGCTTACCCGAAATTGTTCTTTCTTTTTGGGTGCTACCAAACCACAAGTCCCAACCAACAACTAAGGCTTGGCCGAAATGGCTCTCTTTTTCTTGGGCTGCTGCCCCCGAAGCAACCGCCCAAACGACCAAAACCACCCAACTAAGGCTTACCAAACCACCAAACCACTGCTCTCTTGTTGTTTTGGATGCTGCCCCCAACCTACCAAAACACCAACTAAAGCTTACCTGACATGGATCGTTCTTTTCTAGGTCCTCCAGTAGAGAGGTTAGAATAGTACCCTTTTTTTCTCTAGTCAATTTCAGAAAAAAAAGGAAAAACAACAACTCCCAACCAAAAAAGAACCGGTGAGAAAGGTTGCACCTAGCCGGGGGGGCCTGGGGATCCTTCGTTTGGTCCCCCCCTTTTCCCCCCGAAGCCCCAGGCCTCGCTGGGCTGAATCTCCGAGACCTCCGCGGAGCCGCCGAAGCCGAGCTCGGCGCCCTCGGCGAGGCGCAGGACGCTCTCCGCGGACATGGGCGCCGCGTAGAGCGCGCCGTCCTGGGTGGGCAAAAACTGGGGGGTTTTCCAGCTGACGTCCGTTCCCCAAGCCAGCAAACCATGTAGATAAGAGACGAATGTTTGGGAGAGAAGAGTTTTTTTTTTTGCGCTGACGCTCCTTAAAAATAAGAGATATTCCCGAATTGGTTGCTGTATCGACCCCTCTGCAACAAGTGGAAACATCCTTTTGTGTCCAACTTGGAACATCCGAACTGCTTCAACCAAACAGTTGTTGAGTCCAAAGATCCATTACCCTCCCTCCAATTAACATGGAACCTGACGGTGCGCTGTGATGCTGGATGAGACAGGCGTGCGCTGCGTTTTCCGTGGTTCTTGCGCCGGTTTGTCACGGCGGGTGCCGGCACTCTCTGCATTTTCTTTATCTACTTCTATTGTGCGGTCATTTTCGTGAAGGATATAAACTAATACACCACTAAATTGTAGAGGAATAAGATTCGTATTAGAAGAGACCAATGGTTCGACAAATGGGGAAGCTACCCCGTTACAGTGAATTTTCACATGACTACATGGACAACGTCCCCTTTGTTTGCCATGTTTCTCTGTGTATAGAGACATGGAATTATCATGCTTTTCACTCTACGGCCTTGCTGTGCCAATCTGTACCACACGTTGGTTGACCGACCGTGACGTCGAGCTTAGGATCAACGCAGTTTCTATTCCCAAGCGAGAACCCGTGCTGTCCGAGATGGAAACCCCGGGGTTTCAAACGGCATAGCCTGTTCACCAAAGGCTTGGACCTCCTCAAGCATCTCTTCTGGACTTCGTCTTCCCTGGGTTTGTTCTAGATCATCTTTTAGCCGAGGGTCCGGTCGACAAGGGGGCTTTGACGCCCCCCTTGGCATTTAAACAGAAGCTAAGAGGGTAAGGAATCAACCGCTTGATGGGGACCATTTAGAGCACGTTGATTCTTCCTGCTCGTGGACCGATTCCTAATGTGGATGGACGAAATCCTGCGCCACCTGAAAAAAACAACCTGAAAATCAAATACCAACAACAAATGGTCTGAACCATGCCTGGATCACCGGTTGCTGTTTGTTTCCATGCACTTTACCCCCAAAACCAGCAACAGTGACTGAAAAAAGCAGCAACTTGGCTACCTAGGTGGTTTCTTGGCTGGTGCGAGATGGATCTCGCCCATCCACAAAAAATTGGGAAACCGCCCATTCCATACCGTGTCCTAACAGAACTCTGATCGGCTCCGAAAGGCTTCCTCCTTGAGAGCAAATTTTTGGATACCCCCCAAGAACCAAATGCTAGCAGTATCTACCAATCAGGGCTGTGGGAAACGACCACTTCTGTGATACAAAAAGGGCTTCTCGAAGACAAACCTGGCACAAGAGGAGGATCCCTGGTATCACTGGGGAAAAACCCCTGATCCCACAACCCTACCAATCAGGCCTCGAGCACTCCAATCCCTCAGGCCCCGTATACGCGCGACTCCGTCTCGCCCGAGCGCGGGTGCCAGGATGGGCTGCGTCCACTTCGCCGGCGCCCCGGTCGAGTAGGAAAGGGACAAGTCCCGGCTGGGGGCGGAGTAGAGGTCGCCGCCTGCGGCGGGGTCTCCAAATGGCTGTGTGTGGTCCAAACCGTTTTGGGATCCCATTTTGGTGGGTAGGTGAATTCACCACTCGTTTTAGAACCTATTTTTCTGTGGGGATTGGGATGTTCACTGGGGCTACGGGTTTTTGACGCATGGCCACATGCGTGGCTCGTCGTTTATTGAGTTGGTGCCCAACTATCTCCATTGGCATCCATTCACGCATCGCGCCGGAGCTGGAAGCTAATTTCACCCTGATCGGTTGCAACCTGTTTGAGCCGAAGCTGAAGACTGTGTACTCCCCTGCGTGCGCAGAATTCCAATCTGTTCTTTGGGAGAAGCTTGCAAGTTGCGAACCTCAAAACACCTTCAGGGTTCTGAATTCGGAAAACGCCAGTAGCGAACCTAGGGTCCGACATTACAAATTGTGCATTCTGAGCCTTCCCCAGCGAAAGGATACACGTACCTGGGGAGTTCTGTGCGACCAAGGCCTGAGAAGGTAGCATCTGCTGTACATCATGCTGGCCACTTCAACTAGCCCTGTTGGACTCGACGGAGCTTTGGCCAAAGCATGCCGGGACGTGGAAGACGAACCCGCCGCTTTTTGCCCAGTGGAATCCTTTAAAAGATGCGAGGCATGAAAGGTTAAACGGGGGTTCTCAAGTATCGCCCGCAATAAGAAAACTAACTGTTTTGGGGACTAGTTGGAGAAACCCTCAAATGGCCTCCTGAGCAACGCATCCCAAAGTCTTAATCGTCGCAGCCTGTGCTTCTTTGCCAACACGATGAAAGTGGACATGACGGCATGGCAGACATGCGACGAGCCCTTAAGGAATGCTATAACAACCTTCGATCACATCGTACAACCATACTTCGGCACATTCAAGGTCTGCAGCCAAGAGTTTTCTGGTCACCCCAAAGATTGGACCCTACGGGAAATTAGCCCCCTCGGGCCAATATGTTTGGATTACATGGGAAGGAAAGTCGTTGTAACCTGCTAAGTTGACCACCCAGAAAAAGTTCGGTCGCTTTGGCTGCCTTGACAAAAGAGGGGCAGATACCAACAAGGCAACTCAACAGTCAACTAACTCTGCCCACCGCTCTACAGTGTACAAAGTGTTGCATCGACATCCTGGCACAAGGGTAGAATGTGTCTCCCTGGTGGAGGAGAGACCAAGCTGAGTGGTGGGTTTTGGGGGGAATCCTACAGTGTGGGTGTTGAGCGAACACGACAACCACCGTTGACCAAAACCTCGAGCTCTCCGTCAAAAACCAGCACTTTGAGGGAGCCTTGTCATGGCCTTGCTCGGGTTGGGTTTGGCGCCTGGGCGGTTTTTCTATCTGCTCAAGGTCCACCTGGCTTCCCCTACGGGGAAAAAAAACCATCGGCCCTCTGCCCCGGTTCAACAAAAACAGAAACGTTGGTCAGTGGTTTCGTGCCTGTCAATGCAAAAAAACGGCTTTTGGCCTCTTCAACTTCGAACACTTGCATTAAAAGCTGATCAACGTACTGCATGGCTGGTGGTTCTTCAAATCGCCACTTTTGGAGGTTCCAACAAGGGACATGGCCCTTGTGACCCTGGGAAATTTTGGAAACCCCTAAACCCCCCCCCCCCCCCCACAAACACGAGGATACATCCTTTCTCCGCCTCCAGAGGTCACTGAGAAGCGGTGCCAGGGGCAGCCCACGCGCACACAGCCAGAAGTATCCACCTCAAGGCTGGGAGCTCAAGTTAGAAAACGCCCCCCCCCCCCCCGAGGGAACATGGGAGACCTCCTGGCCTAAATGGAACCAAAACGGCCCCTTGGCAAATGAAACCAAATGAAACCAAATGGCCTAAAACCTGCCTAGGTCCTCCAGTAGAGAGGATAGAATAAGGGTACCAACTTCTTTTTAAATGTAGTCTACTTTAGTAGGGGAACCCTCCCCCCCAAAAAAATCGGCAAACGGGCACTACTGGGGACCTCCTTGCCCTTTTCACATGGAACCTGACGTTTGGGCGGCGGTCCCCTTTTAAGGCAAATGTTTTTTTTGCAGGACCCCCCGAACGTCAATTTCAATTGGTGACATCCTGTGCGCTCATATGCAAACCAAATTCATTGCTTCAAAGCCATCATTGTTTGAGGGTACTCCCGGATTCAGCATCCCTGGGGCTCAACTTGCCGATTTCCATGTATCAAAAATGGGTGACCCAGGGGGCCACGGTAAATAATGGTGGTGATAGTGGTGGATTGAACCCCAGGGCTCCAATTGGTGGATTAGGGCTTGGTGGCTTGGTGGCTTGGTGGCTTGGTGGTTTGGTGGTGTTTCGAGGGTAGTTCCTCATTTGTCTACAAGAACCAGAACTTCAATTCCCCAAACAGTTGACATATTGACCCCTCTCGTTGCTCCTGTAAGAAGGCCAGACAAAATCAACAGGTGTCAGGGCGGCCAAATGTGGCCAGAAGCGTGGCCACCAGGCGACCCAAGTCCGTCTGACTTCGACAACCTGCTTTTGGTTTAACCTTGCCATGGGGCCAGGGCTTGGCATAAACAAAGCTTGCGACCAACCTTCACGCCCACTCACCGCCAAACCGCCAAGCAACCAACTCACTTCCTGAGTGGAGTAGGCAACAAAAAGTCCTTAACTGCTTACCACGAAACTGGTCCCAACCCAAAAAGCTCTAGGAACTCGGAAAGTGCGACAGGGCCAAAGGTCTTCACTCAACTTCCATTGGACAAAGGGTACGTCGCTCAAACGGCAAATCCAACTTGAGGGCCGCCGTAGAACGCTCGCCGTAGAACGCCTGCAGATCGGAGCACACCGTGGCGTTGCCCGCCATGCCCCAGTGGAGCTCCTGGCAGCTCACCGTGGTGTTCGCCGAGGAACTCAGATCGTAGCTCCTGACCGAGGCGATGGGAGCGGAGGCCGTGATTCCGATGGCACCACTTGGGTGGCGCTCGTCTTCTTTTTGTAGTGGCCCCCCCCTTGGTTGGTCGAATTTAAAGGGAAGCCAAGAGGAAAAATAAACCGAAGCCATGTTGGGAAGGTTTTGCTAAGAAACGACACACCCAACTCCAACTTGGGGAAGTAAAGGAGGCGAGCGATTCACCAAACTGGAGATGGGTGTTTCTCAAAATAGACAAATTGGCCCACGAACATGGTTGGCCCACGAACATGGTTGGCTTCCTTTTGGGTTCCCAAGAAATATTAATGTCCAAAGGGTGTCCACCTATATGAGAAACTCCCATGTTCCACCAGTCACTCAGCTCCTGACTATCATTGCGCCAACCAAGTATGTTTGCTACTAAATGGTCCCCCAAGAAAGTATAAAAAACCACGCTTGAGAAATATATGTATATATGTATATAACACCAGGTTGAGACTTGCTAAATCCCCCCCCCCCCCGACCACTGGGCACGTTTGAAGGGGCCTGAAAAGGCGTGGTGTCCTTTAACTTGTTGGGCCAACCCGCTCTCTTCAAAAAAACACGGACGGACAGGCCCCGCTGGATGAAACTCGATTCAGCCTCATGGGGTCGTTGCACGTACGCTACCGTACCATCACCCATTGCTTATACCCCACAAAGGACCTTCCAAGTTGAAGGTCTGTCAATCCCACTTCAACTGCGGGTCGTCTACATCAAAAAAACAAAAACCGTGGCCATTTTGGACTTGTGTTTTATTATTATTTCTCTCTTCTTTTGTTTTTTTTGGGGGGGGAAGGATTTAATGTGCCAAAAGTAAACCATACCCAGTCTATCATTGCCGAATAACGTGCGCTTCTCACGGCTCCACTGTTGATATTCAACCCGCGGACATGAATCACTTTGCACCCAACGCACCTGGTTGAAACCAAGGTTATGCTGTTTGGTTGTTTGATTAAACATGGTTGCCAACACAAGAAACCCAACATAACGTGAGAAGGGTTGCATTCGACAACTGATTGTTATGCATAATAAGCCAAATCAAGGATATCCATGCGGACCCTTGAGGACAAAGAAGCGGCCAAGCCGCCATATGTTTCAACTATGGGTTCATGTTCACCTCGGATTCATCCAGAGGACCATACTCATCCGAGGAATCTGCCAACTCAAAGTGGGACAACCTCTGATTGGTATGGTCCTGCGCAGCATCTGAAGTTGACGTTGCATTTTAAGGCCATGTAAGACAATAACATGCTGTTAGTAAGTTTGCCAGGGCCTGTAGAAAACAAACCCCGAGTAAGATACTAGTTCGTGTTGTTTTCTGTCAGGGCCTATATTATGATCGATATCATTATTAGTGTCATGATGATTGTGACTAATATTGTAAATTTAAATGTCATGATTCTAGTATTGCTAGCATTATTCTTATTTCTAGGGGTACCTTCCCCATTCTTTCCAGGGATCACTCTTTCCAGAGATCTTTCTCTCCAGAAATCCTCCGGAAACCCCGCAAAAAAACAGATCCGGTTTTGAAAAGAGCGATGGTTGACAAGAATGGAAAAGGAATGAACCCCTAGATTATTGTCATCTTTATACATACCCCCGAAACTTGGTCGCTGCCGCCAGGGCGCCACGAGGTGAGCGACCCATCGGCGGCAAGCTGCCAGGAGAAGGGCAAATCGAAGCCGGCCGCGCCTGTGTCTTCTTTTCATCGGGATGGAGGGGGCTGTCCCGAAATACCCGAAAACAACATTGCTGGTGTTTTTGTCGAGTTTGTGTTAGCGTCCCTTTTTTTCATCCAGCAAAAGGGTAGCCTCAAGAGATTTTTGTTCCGACACATGGCTCGGCTGTGGTCAAAAATCAGGTAACCCCAAAATGGAACCCTTGGAAACATGGACTAAAACCTGCGGTTCCCTGGTGGCTTCATTTTGACCCACAACCACATTGCTGGTGTTTTTGTTGAGCTTCCCTTTTCTTCATCCAGAAAAATGGGAGCCTCAACAAATACTCCCACGTGGCCGGTTTTTGGGTCCCACATGGGAGCTCAAGTGAGCCATTCCAGCGCTAAGCTGAAGGTGATATCGGGTCTAACATGTGGGATCCCATTTTTCTTAGTTCGTGAGACACCGAGGGACCTAGGGAAACCACGCAATTCATATGGATTGAGAAGTGCTTGTGTTTCTTGGCTTTCCACCCTGGAGGTCAAACACTGTCATCCCGCTGTCCTTGACGGAATATGCTTTCTGCAGGTCCTTTTGCCCCGCAGGAACCACATGTTGGTTCCTTTGCTTAGTTAGCTGGCCTGAGGTGTGAAAGTCACGGCAAACGCCGATACATGTTGTTGGGCCAGTAATATTATTCGCTACCAGCAAGCAGTTTCCAGTGTTCCATAACACAGATAAGTCGAAGGAAACCCGATATCTTGGCCATGTGGCATTTCAACTCACAATGGAAAGCCCAACCAGCAAAAGGACAACAGGATGGAGCTGTGCTTCTCGTGCAAGAACACAAGGACACAATGACACACTTCGGCAGGGTACCCCAAAAAACAACAACAAAAATAACAACACACATTACGCTGTTCCGCCTTCAAGTTGCCAAACCACGAATGGATTCTTGCCAGCAGAATTCATGTAAATTCATGTTGGGGCGGTGCCTCGGCAAAATCGGAGCATGCAATACTGGGAGACAAATCCACAACTGACCCACCTTTTTAGCGCAGGGTTGAGAATCACCGTTGCGATACCTGGGGGTTGATCAATCTTCCCGGCCCCCCAAATGACCATGCCTAACTGTTCCCGTGTGTAGAAAGTCCTCTTGTTGGGTGTTTCCCTGGTCATCCCATGTTTATCGGATGTTTTGATCAACCACATGAGTCATTCCCGAATTAAGTCAGCAGATTCCCGCCACCTCCGTTGCCGGCGCCCGCATCGCAGGCCGCGGCGATCGCCGCGAGCCAAGCCGCCGCGAACGGCGCGCGGCCCATGGCGGCGGCATCGGCGAGTCGTGCGCCCGGAACCCGCGGGCTGGAAATTCGCGGGGGGTTCAAAGGACCAATATGGTGGGGTTGAGAAAAACCACCGCTATTTGCCGGTGGTTCAAAGGCCAGGTGAAAGGGAAGCTTCTTCTTGGGGAGGGGGCAGCACCTTCAACTTTGCCAAGCCAATTTCGGCGATTGGTTTGAACAATGCTGCATCCAGTCACCACTAGGCAAAAACGAGAATTGGACGCGGTGGGGAATAAGATCTGATAAGAGTGTAGACATACCCAAATGACATGTAGGAGCTGGTTGGCACGCTCTATGATACACTGTGATGCTTGTGTGACATCCTATTCTCATGTCCAATGTTCACTTTGGATGGGCCTGGAGGCAATCAAAGGGATGCAACCCGAACCTTGGTCACGTGCAAAGCAGAGGGGCCTGAGCCAAAAGTCCAACCTGTTCGCAGGTTTAACGGAAACACATCTGTTTCCAATTTAGGTCCCAGGTTTTTGAGTACAGAGGTTAGAATAAGGGTACAATGGGCCTTTTGGGTCACAGCCATGATCTGAAGCTCCCATAACCCATAACCCAAAAGCATCCCAACACCATGTGGTAAGAACCCAAGGTCGGCCTGGGCTAAGTCGCGATTGGTTGGAAACGCCGCCTGCTGCTCGGGTTCGGTGTTTGGCTCATCTGAGCCACGGCCGAAAGCGTGGGCGCTTTCAATGAAAGTCAGTCGGTCGCTTTCTGAAAAATAAAGCATCCTGGACACCCAATACGTGCTCCTTCCGAAAAAATGGCCATACGGCCCCCAGGATGCTTAATACTTACCAACGAGCGGACGAGGAAGTTGGTTCAGCGCTACTGCCATTGTGCAACTGACGGTCCCTCCCACTAGGGCTTTTACTGAATGCCTCGGAGAGCCATCTCCAACTCATTTTGGGTGTGTCTTTTGATGGTACCCCGGTTCGGTGGCTTTCAAGGGAAACTAAAAGGAAAGCCACATGTTTGGGGGTCCCCCATGAAAAAAAGAGAGCCCCCATCTCGACTCAAACCCTGAATGCTCCAAAGCCCAGGACATCGAAAGCCTCGCCTCGACGGTTTTGGCAGGCAATAAACCCGCTTGCGGCTTCCCTGAAAAATACAGGAAGAAAACCTGACTTCACCACTCATGACTCGCCAACGTGACATAGAACATGATGACAGCACCAGCACAGCCTTGTTTGCTTGTGTTCATAAGCAGGCTTGAAGGACGAGACACTGTGGCTTTTTTTTGGGGCGACCATTTTTTTGCATTGGGTCTTAAAGGGAAGCCACAAGGAACGCCACCGCCATTTTGGGTTCCCGAAAACAAGACATGTGCGGTGAACAGGCCATGATTGATCCCTGCAATCATACAAGGCCCCCTAAGCTGCCCCACTGGCGAGCGAGAGAGCCGATTCCTGCAGATCTCCCGACATCTCCCGCTCTTCAGTCCAAACCAATGGAAATCGACTTGGCTGAATGAAGTGCTGTATAGCAAAACGTCACCGGGGTAGATTGCATGCTCAAACCCATGCCGTCCGCCCAGCGGTTTCCGCGGGTTGCTCGGAGCGGAAGCCGGGCGAATAACTGGCTCGAATCGCTCCCGAGCGAGTCAAAACTGATCTGACGAAGGTCTTGGACACCCGAATCCAGTGACGTGGCTGGTTTTCATGGAAGCCCTTGGAGTTCCTTCAAATCCATAGCGTGGTGTGGCTGCTGTTCAGGAACAAGGAAACTCTTGGAGTTCCTCTTTGCGTGGATCCCTGCGTCCCAGTCACCTCGTGTCAGAGATCGCAGCCAACGCCTTTGGGCCCCCCGCATCTTGCCAGCCACCGAGGTGCTGCGATCGCGATCGCTCCATGTGGAGACCATGGCTCCTCTCGACGCGCTTTGAATCCCTGCTGGTGCGCTTGTGCTCAAATTCAACATGTTTGAGGGGCATTTGAAACAAGCAAGGGAAAGATTCAACCAAATGCACAATGCGAATAACTTCTTGTGGGTCCAATTTAGAGAATCCCACTGCTTCCAACTTAAAGTCCAAAGATTCGCTACTAAATTGCCTCGGTTGCTTTCTGCTCCCCTGCTAAAAGTAACGGAAAACCCATTAGTTGGCCAAAAGTTAAAGTCCTAACATCCCTTGGCAAAATGCACCAAAGTGAAATAACCCCTATAATTCACCATTTACTTGTTGGTTTCCTTTAAGGGAATCCCCTTCCGGCAAAGTTGCCTTGGCGAAGTGGCATCTTCTCCGCGCCTGGCCGCCGGAGCTCACCCCCGAGCTCCCCTGAAGGGCTCCGCCCATCGAGCCGAAACTGGGCAAAGCAGCGCCTGGAACCGGGGCGGGGGTTGGGTGGGGTGGGGTGGGGTGGGTTGGTGTTGGGTGGGGTGGGTTGGGCGGGTTGGGTGCCCAATAGGGGGAACAAACATGGCAGGGGGCACCATGTTTCGCCATAAAGCAATTGTCGCAGTTGGTTCATTGGAAAAAGGGAGACGCGGAAGGGTTCATGGCTTAAGTGTTTGTTTTAAAGGGAACCCCCAAGCAAAACAAGGGGAAACACGCTTGCCCCTGTTCGCTTGGTGCATTTTAACGGGAAACCCAACCACAATTGAAGGAAAAGGCCTAGCCCGCTTTGGTTTAAGTTGAAGGCCAACCTCGCCCAGAAGGCAACAACTGGTTTTGCCTTTGGGCGTCTTTTTTGATGGTACCCTTTTGTGTGGGTTTTAAAGGGAGACCAAAAGGCAAACCACCAAGATGTGGGCGGACCCCCCAAAAACAGACACAAACCCAGCTGGGATGAAATCCTACGGACGAAATCCTGTGCATATGCCGGGCCACGCGCCCTACCAGCTGCCGTAGTGTTGCCTTTCAGCCCACCCAAAGGCTCCAATTCGATGTATTTCGGGCCCGATTTAACAGCCAGGTGTCTAATGGAGGGATCGGGTCTTCCATTGAAAGCCCCAGGAGCCTCTGGGCATGCAAACACCTCTGCATCCGAAACGAAACGCGGAGAAATGGCGCTTTTGCTTGTATTCTTGTTGCGAACCGGCGTGGAGAAACCTCCGCTTTGGCCGTCTACGGAATGTGTCCCAATGGGAATCCAGGATTAAGCAACCCCTTGTTGATTAACAGGGGGGACGATCCAGGTTAGACAGGATCCCTCACTTTTAGAGGGAGCACATTCCTAATAATCTGCCAGGCTCAATGATTCCGCGGGTCAACATTAGTTGGAGCCCCTGCTGACTGCACCAGCACATCCCTGAAGCATTCACAAAGATTCCAAATCGGCTTTGAGGCCGGCCGCTTGAATGATGCTTGGGAATCTCCCAAGAGAAGCCAACTGTGTGTAGCTCGGCAACTTTAGGACACATGAAAGATGCGCGTGAAACCTAATTGCTTCCTCTACCAGAAGCAAGATACCTGCCACGACTGGGTAGCTCTACCGAACCTTGGGTTGAGACTGAGACGTGTTGATCCCACATGTATAATGCTTATATTAGCACAACGGAGGTAGGTCACAAACACGTGCCACACGGATGCAACACGAGTTCCACCCACCTTGCAAGAAAGAGACACCTAGGTCTTTGGGGTCGGTCCGGTTGGCCGGCCAAAGAATCTGCATCCGCAGGTGAAGCCTCCACAAATTACTACGCACAATACAACTCCTTGCTGCTCGATGGGTCCCTTTCATGATAATTTCGGAAATCCACCCAATCAAGGACCTTTCTGGCGTCCGGACGCGTCCGGATTCGCTGCGATTCACGAAGAAGCATCCGAACCAAGCAAGTAGTGCTTTCCTTTTGCTACCGTGCGTATGCCCAAATCAAAGATCCCATGCTTCGTTTCCGGACGGCTTCGTTTCTTCTCTCTCCTACGATTGAAAGGCTAAGCCCCGCAAACTACCGAGGAACCGAAATCTGGAGGGTCCCCGATTCTTTTCAACCTGTGCAGGCTTCGGGGAGTAACCTGTAGAGTGTCACTTGGACCCAGTCATCTCTGCCACACGCCGCACGCGCTGGTCGCCATGTTGGCAACCGATGGCTCACTGAGATTGTACCTCAGACCAGAATGGTTCATGCATGATGCTTCTCATCATCCATGTGACGACAAGGATGACCATGATGATGATGATGATGATGATGATGATGATGATGATGATGATGATGATGATGATGATGATGATGATGATGATGATGCTCACTGTGATGATGATGCTCACTGTGATGATGACTATCATCGTGGCATCCCCTGCATCACCAAGTGGAAAAATAAGAAGCCCAAAATGGGCCCTGAAAAAAAGAGAGATTCCTCCAGCACCCCCTGCGCCGGGTGTTTGGACATGGGACAAGCAGGCGCCAGGGGGTGATGGCACTTTGCTTTTCGGTTGTGCGAAACGTTATCCCCTGCGTTCAAACCACAATTTCAACAAAGGGGGCTGGCATAACCACCATTATCTACTCTTCAGGAGTGTTATTCTCTAAATTGGTGAAGCATTCTGCCATTCTTTTCATGGGAATCGGCTTGGTTCACCCCAAGGTATCCATTTGGTTTTCTCTCAGGTGGCCTTTTGAGGCTTCCCGGGCGCGCCTTGGCGCCCTGAATGCCCGGGCGGTGATGGATGCAACTGTCGCTGACCCCGGATGAACGAAGCAACCCCGTCCGACTTGAAAGGGCGGTGGCTCCCTCCCAGTGATGAAATCCCGACGAAAATGGGGACGCCAAATCCCTTTTTCATCAACCCGGCATTGAAATTCATCCGGGATTCCCATTCGTCAAACAACTTTCTGGATTCAGGATCTCTATTCTCCACCGCTCCAATTCCTGTTTGCGGAATTCCACACAACACGAAGTCCACTCCAATACTGTGGATGGACGAAATTCTGCACCTCTTGGAAACCATGGGAAACCATGGTTGGTTTGTATTTGCAGGGGGAATCAACATTCCAGGGTTTCTTAGGTGGAGCAGGATTTCGTCAATCCACAGTATGAACACTGCAGGACCCAAACCTATTTAGGCGATAAAGAACCTGCGCCATGCA